CTCTCCTTTCTTGTCATCCCAGGCCAAGCTGCCCCTCCAGTGGGGGCCCCTGGAGGCTGTCAGCTCCGCATCCCAAATCCTCTGCCTTCCCTACTCTCCCAGATCCTCTCCCAGGCCAGTAGCTATCACCAAAGAACCAGAGAATTTTAGCGTTGGAAAGACCCTCACGGGCCATCTATTTCAATTCATATCTACAAGGTGTCTCCACTAACATACACCCAACATAGGAGACAGCTCAAATCAGAAGGAAGTGTTTCCTTGTATCAAGGCTTTTTTTTCAGCTTCCACCCATTGACCCCAATTCTGCTCTCTGAGGCTGAATGGAACAAATCTAATTCCCCTTCCACATAACGGACCTTCGAGTACTTCAATCAGCCAAGCAAGCAACCATCAAGCTTTTACTGAGTGACTACTGAATGCAAGGCACTGTTCCAGGCACTGGTGACACAGACAAAAATAAAACAATTCCTTCCCTTGAGGAGCTTACATTCTATCAGTAGAGATAATATTATATAAATGCATAAAATGTATAAAAAATAAGGTCATTTGGGGAGGGGAGGAGGCTGGAGAAGCTAGGGCATCAGGAGAAGCCCCATGTAGGAGGTGGAACTGATGGAAGCTAGGGATGGTAAGAGGAAGGGGTGAGGAGGCAGTGCGTTGCAGGCTGGCATGGCCGACAGCCTGACCAAAGGTCCAGAGGTGGGAGATGCAATGTTGTAAACAAGGAGCCACGAGATTGTCAGCACAGCTAGACCATAGGACACATGACATACACAGAACACATCACTTCCTGTCGAGTGAGTGATGATAAGCCTACAAAGGCTGGTTGGAGCCAAGAGGGCTTTAAATATCAGATATTGGAGTTCATTTTTAGTCCAAGATGTAACAAGGAGTCACTGGAATCTATCATTTGGCAGCAGAATGGAGGAAGGATTGGAAAGGGGAAGAGACTGGAAGCAGGGAGGACAATTAGGAGGCGACTGAAGTAGTCCAGGTAAGAGGTAATGAGGACCCAGGAGGTTAAGTGATATGCCCTAAGTCATACAGATTGTATCAAAGGGGAGATTTGAACCCAGGACCTTTGACTCCAGAACCTATGTTCTTCCTACTGTACCATCCTGTCTCTCTCAAGACAACCAAGAAAACCAGTGTTATAAAAACTCAGAGAGGAGACAGTATCCAGGAGGAGAGGGTGATGGCGTGTGAGTGGAGAGAAAGGAATAGACAGGAGAGATACTACAAAGGTTGTTGTTCAGTCTTTTTTCAGTCATGTCCAACTCTTCATGACCCCATTTGAAGTTTTCTTGGCAAGGATACTGGGGTGGTTTGCCATTTCCTTCTCCGGGTGATTTTATAGTTAAGGAAACTGAGGCAAACATGGTTATGTGATTTGCCCGGGGTGACACAGCTAAGTGTCTAAGGCCAAGTTTGAACTCAGATCCTTCTGACCCCGGGGTTGGTGCTGTATCCATTGCACCACTTAGCTGCCTGTTGTTGAGTTGTTTTCAGTTGTGTCCTACTCTTTGTGACCCCATTTGGGGTTTTCTTGGCAGAGATACTGGAGTGGTTTGCCATTTCCTTCTCCAGCTCATTTTACAGGTGAGGAAACTGAGGCAAACAGTCAAGTGACTTACCTGGGGTCATGCAGCTAGGAAGTGTCAGGCCAGATTTGAGCTCACGAAGATAAGTCTTCCTGATTCTGAGCCCAATGCTCTAACTACTGTGTCACCTAGATGCCCCACAATAAAAGTAAAATGGACAAAACTTGGCAACCAGTTGGAACTGGAAGGTGGGGAGAGTTAAGGATGGCTCTAAGGATGGGCTGACTGGAACAATGCTGGTGTCCTGGACAGAAACAGGGAAGTTCTTTCACAACATGACTAATATGGAAATATGTTTAATATGATTGTACATTGTAACCTATATCAGATTACTTGCTCTCTTGGGGAGGGGGGAGGGGAGGGAGTGAGGGAGAAAAATTTGAAATTAAAATTTTACAAAAACGAATTGTGAAAACTATCTTTACATGTAATTGCGAAAAATATTGTTAAGTGCAAAAAAAAAAAAAAGAAATAGGGAAGTTCAGAAGAAAAGTGGGTTTGAGGGAGAAAGAATAGGTTCTTGTTTTAGACTGAGTTTGAGATGCCCGTGGGACATCCAGTTGGAAATGTCCAATAGACGGCAATACTCTGGCAAAAGTTCAACTACCAGTTCTCAAGGTAGGGGACGGGGGATTATGTGCAATACTCTTTTGAGTTTAATCTGCATCATTAATATTTTTTCCATTCCTGAGTCTAGAAACAAAATTGTAAATCAAGCCCTGGTTTGTAGTGTTGGCTGATTTCTGGGTATAAATGTTCATATGAAATTTTAACAATCAGCTCTTACAAGCTGGTACAAACCGGCTCTAGGATACCTCTGCCAACACGTGATGTAAGAATAGAGCTCACTAGAGAAAGGAGGGATGGATACTTAGGTCTGTGAGTTATCTGCATAGACATGATAATTAAGCCCATAGGAGGTGATAAGGTTACTAAGAAAGTGTAGAGAGAGAAGAGGTCCCAGGACAGAGCATTGGACTATATACACAGTCAGGAGGCAGGGTGATGAGCCAGCAAAGACAGTGGGAAGGAGCCATCAGATAGGTAGGAGGATCCACTTAATATCATTCCCTCATTTTACAGATGAAGAAACTGCCCAGGGAGGTTAAGTGATATGCCCCCAAGTAACACAGATAGTGTAAATGGTGGGATTTGAACCCAGGTCCTTTGATTCTAGAACCAACAGGGAGTTATTTCCACTACACCATCCTCTTTCTTAGGCAGCCAGGAGAGGTCAGTGTCATAAAAACTCAGAGAGGAGATAGCATCTAGGAGAAGAGGGTCCTTGACAGAGTCTTGTGCTGCAAAAAGATCAAGAAGGATGAGGATTGAGAAAAGGCCATTGGATTTGGAAATCAAGAGACCATTGGTAGCTTTGGGGGGAGTGGTTTCTGTTGGGTGGTGAGTTCTGAAGTCAGGTTACTTGAAGACAGCCATCTTCTCTTCTTCTTGAGTCTTCTTTTCTCTAATTCATGTTTTTCCCAGTTTTCCCCAGTTCTTCCAATTTATCCTCATACAACATAGACTCGAGGTCCTTCTTCAATCTGTCAGTCATTCAGTAAATATTTATTAAGCATTTACTATGTGCCAGGCACTGTGCTAAGTGCTGGAGATCCAAATACAAATAAAAACAAAGACAGTCCCTCCCCTTAAGGAGCTTATGATCTAATGGGAAAAGACAATGCATGAACAGAAGCTGAGAAAGGGAGGAAGGGAGAGCAGGGGGAAGGTAGCAGGCAAGGAGGCATGATGGAAAAAGTCCAAAAAAGTCAAAAGCAGTGTAGCTGGTGGGAAATTGGAAGAAGACTGCTGAGCCCTGTTAAATACCCTCTAGCCATAGCACTGCCCTCCAGTCAGAGGCTGACCTCCTCTGGATATTCTGGATTATCAATGTTCTCCTTTCTCTGTGGTACATAAAAGGAGGGAATAAGCACCATTTATACATCAAGAGCTTTTTAAAAATCAATATTATCTTGATCCTCACAACAATCTTGTGAGGTAAGTGTTACTATTATCTCCATTTTACAGCTGAGGAAACTGAGGCAAACATGTTAAGTGACTTACCCAGGGTCTTACAGCTGGTAAGTGCCCGAGGCCAGATTTGAACTCAGGTCTTCCTGACTCAAGGCCCAGTGCTCTAACCAGAACTGGATGCAATGTTCTAGACAAAATCTGACAAAGGTCAAATACAGAGAAATTAACACCTTCTTATTCCTCAGAAGCTTTTCTTAATGTATCCCAAGATCATATTAGCCTTTTTTTTTGTCTGCCACATCATACTGCTGATTCTTATTGATTGAGTTGCCAATCCGTTAGGATCCCAGGATCTTTTTCAGAAAAAAAAATGTTGTCTAATCATGCCTCCTCCATTCTGTACCTGTGAAATTGATTTTTTGGACCTAAGGGTAGCACTTTACATTTGTCACTATTGAATGTCATTTTATTAGATTTAGCCCAAGGCTCTAGTGTAAGAGCCTGTAAAGATCTTTTTGGATTCTGACTCTGTCACAGTGTATTAGCTATCCCTCTCAGCTTGGAATCATCTGTAAATTGAATAAGCATATCATCTTTGCCTTCATCACTGATAAAATTGCTAAGCAGAACAAGTCAAACACAGATCCCTAGGATATTATACTGGAAATCTACTGCAAGTTGACATTGAACCATTAATGACTAGATTTTGAGGCTAGCCATTCAACCAGTTATGACTCTATAATCCACATATCTCCATCTCCTCCAAAAGAATAGTGTAAGACACTTTTTTTAGAAGCTTTGCTAAAATCAAGGTAAATGAAAACCCCAGAATTTTCCTTATCTCTTAGTTTAATCCTCCCGTCAATACTCCTAACCTCAAGGAAATGAGGTTCGTCTGGAAGGACCTTTTTGAGGTCACCTTGCTGGCTTTTTATAATCACTGTTTCCCTTTTTAGATATTTGCCAACCATCTCTAAACAATCCATCCTAGAGAGTTCCCAGGAATCTAAGTCAAGCTCACTGGCCTGTAGTTTGCTGACACTGTTCTTTTCCCTTCTTCGGACACTGGGGCCACATTTGCTCTACTCCCATCCTGTGGGACCTCTCTCATTCTCCATGAGCTTTCAACTGTCACTGACAGTGGGATAGCTGTTACCTCAGCCTGTTCTTTCAGGATCTGAGGACGTTACTCGTGTGGACCAAGTGACATGAACTCATCAAGGGCACTTAGGTTTCTCTTACTATTTCCTTACTTATATGGGGGCATCAAATGATAAAGTTATACCAGATCATAGCCCTTCTAGCTCTGATTCTCTGATCCTGCGATAGATGGACGGTGTCTAGAAAGTCAGACTCTTGAGTTTCCCTTGTCACTCCCAAACTTATCTTCAATCTGTGTCTCCCCCACTCCTCATCCTGTCCCAGGTGCTGGAGGAATTAAAGATGTCGGGGCCGGGCCCAACAGCTTCCTATGAGCAGCTGGTGAGGCAGGTGGAGGCCCTGAGCCGGGAGAACACCCACCTGCGGAGAGAACTCCAGGATAACTCCAGTCATTTGTCGAAGTTGGAGAATGAGACCTCTGATATGAAGGTATGACTAGGGGGGCACAGAACCTAGAGAGACAGGGACATTGGGATGAGAGAGATGGGGTCACAGACACAGGATATGGAAAGGGGGCCATGGGACATCAAGAGCTAGGGACACAAGGATATGGGACCCATGGGCTAGGGTTGGGGGGAGCAGACCATAGGATTAAGGGCTATAGAGACAGAGATTATGACTGAGTGGTGGCAAGGCTAGGGATTGGGGGAGGAGATGAGGTGGGTCTGGGACTGGGATCTGTTGAGGTAGGAAGCTGGAGATGGAGTGTTAAGGAAGTATAAGTTGAGTTGAGATACGGTGAGAACAGTTCTGGGAGCTAAGCAATGGGGAGATGAAGGGGGGAAGATCGTATAATGGAATCCATTGCTACCCACCCACCCCACCCCCGCCCCAGTCAGATTTCAACTGCCACACTGACAGGCAGCTATGTTGGAAAGAACAGTCCATTCCTTCCTCTCTCTGGGCCTCAGTTTCCCCATCTGTAAAATAACAATCCCAGGTAGCAATCTTCCTTGCTCCCAGGGGCTGTGGTGGGGGTGGAGGAGTGAGCCCTCACTCTGGAAGGTGGAACCTGACCGACCTGGGGTTTGCTTTCCTTCCTAGGAGGTGCTGAAGCACCTTCAGGGGAAGCTAGAGCAAGAAGCCCGAGCAATGGTATCATCTGGGCGGACTGAGTTATTGGAGCAGCTGAAAGGTAAGGGGGAGGGGGAGGGAACCCTGGGGCTCCATGTCTGGGGGAAAAGCTACGACAAAGCTCCTGTCATCCTGGAACATCCAGGCTAGTAGGAGACATGGGTCGGGAAATGGGTACAGTGTGGAGAGCTCTGGATTGGCTCTGAGGAGACCCAGGCTCCGACTCTTTTAATTCATCTACTCACTTAGAGATATTTCACTCTCTTGGCCTCAGTTTCCCCATCTGTACAGTGAGAGTTGGAATATGTAGTCTTTTGACCTAGTTCTAGATTCTATGATTCTGTGACTGTGGTTCTAACCTTGAATGAAACAAGGAAAGGACAGAGTGCTCAATCAATCAACAAGCATTCATGAAGCACCTACCGCATGCCAGGCATTGGGCTAGATCCTAGGCACACAAATATGAAAACAAAACAGTCCCTGCCCTCAAGAAGCTTACATTCTACTTGGGGGAAACATGTATGTAGGCAAACACAAAATATACACAAGCCAAATACAACCCATTTTTTTTTCCGGAGGGGAGAGGCACTAGCAGCTGAGTGGAGGGGTTGAAACAAGGTCTCATGTAGGAGCTGGTGTATGGGCTGAGCTTTGAGGGTGGTGAGGTGGTGAGGGCCTGAATTAGGACAGTGACTGTGGAAGCGGAGATAAGGGGACAGATGCCAGAGATGTTATGGAGGTGAAATAGAGACCTGGAAACTGTTCCCATGCTAATGATGTGGGAAAGTTAATAATTGAGGAACATGCTGATAAATGCTCATGAATCTGGATAATGATGGAAAGGATGGTAGTGTCTTCAGCAGAAATAAGAGGCTTAGGTTCAATTCTATTTCAGACATGTTGAGTTTGAGGAACGTCCATTTTGAAATGCTCAATAGACAGTCAGTGATGCTAGACCAGAGCTCATGAGAGACACTATGGCTGGAAATGTAGATCTGGCAGTTGTCTGAATAGAGATGTAATTAAACCCATTGGAGCTGATGGGAAAGAAAACATGGAGAAAGAAGAGAAGAGGTCCTGGGAGAGAGAGTCTTGCAGTACAGCCACAGTTAGCATGGATACTGAGGAGGGGGACTGAGAAGGAGCAGTTAGACAGTTTAAGGAGGAAGAGAATCGAGTTGAGACAAGTTTCAAGAAAACCCAGAGAGGAGAGAGTATTCAGAAGGTGGTCAGCAATGTCAAATGCTACATGGATCAAGGAGGAAGACTGAGACACAAGTGTACAGGGATCCTGAGATTTATACAGTTGGATAAACTCAACTGATGGCTTTATATAGTTCAGCCAAGTGCACATCCCCAAGGTGTAATGTCAGGGGATTTGGTAATTCTATCTCAAAGACTCGATCTGGTAACTTTGGAGAGTACTTGTGATGAGGTTGGAAGATAGATTTCTTTTTTTTATTATTATTTATTTTTTGATTCTAGATTTCAAGGTATTGAGAAGCGAATGGTATTAAACTAACAAAAACAATCCAAGTAGGAAAAGTGAAGCAGTTGACTGGGGGGGGGGGGAAATCCCTGCATCAAGTATCTCTGATAGAGGTCCGATATTCAATATATGTAGAGAACAAAAGTAAATATATTAGGCTAAGAGCCATTCCCCTAATAGATGCATGGTCAATCAATCAACAGGTTTATTGACTGTTTGCTCATTGCCAGGCACAATGCTAAGTGCTGGGAATATAACAGCTCTCCGAAGAAGAATTACAAACCATTAGCAAGTATGGAAAACATTGCTCCAAATCGTTTATAATAAGAGCCTTGCAGATAGAAAGAACTGAGTGAAGTGAACAAAATCAGAGGATGTGGAAGCAGTGAACCTAAAGAAAGCTTTTCCTAGGAGCTTGGCTATGAAAGGAAAGAGACATATAGGACCATGGGGATGGTAGGATCCATTGAAGGCTTTTTTTAAAGGATGGGGCCCCCTGGACACATATGTAGACAGTAGGGAAGCAACTTGTAGATAGGAAGAGACTGAAGATATATTACTGTGAGTATTGGACAGAAATATATAGGGTTTAAAAAAATTTTTAAATAATATTTTATTTTCCCCCAACTACATGTAAGAACAATTTTTACCATTTAAAAAAAAGTTTTGAGGCCCCCCTGCCCGGGCTTGTGCTGGCTGCAATCAGGGGTTCCCTGGGGTGCACACTCCACAACTCGGGCTCCAGCCAGGCTCGAGGTTCTGCCTATCTCAGCCCATGGGGGTCCCACCCCCCCAGCTTGACATGCCTGTGGGCGTGTCGTGGCCCTTGTACCTGAAAACGGTCGCAGCCAGCATGGAGGCCATGCTGGCGGAGGCAGAAGTGGTGCACAAGTACTACTGACCCAATCTGACTATACCTAAAGTCCCCCCAAAACGTAGTGAACTCAAGATAGCTTCTGGGGCTGAAAACCAGAGAAGAGCAAGATCAGATTTGTCAGCAGCAGGGGTCTACATGGTCAGCATTTGATACGGGGACTTTTATTGCATTTTTATATATGTGGACAATCAATTTGCTTGTCCCGATACCCTCAGGGTTCTCCATGAACATTAATAAATTCAGCTGTGTTTGTGGTTTGACTTGTGTGACCTGAGAATTATTTGAATGAACTCTTCCCAGCCTTTGGAATGTAATTTGGAAGCTATATAAAACATTTTGGAATTTAAAAAAAAGTTTTGAGTTCCAAATTCTACCCCTCTCTTCCTCCCCTCTCCCATCCCTGAGACAGTAAGCAATCTAATATAGGTTATACATGTGTAATCATGTAAAACATTTCTGAAAAATGTGGTTTTAATCCCAGCCCTGCTATTCATTAGTCATTAAAGTCATTTGGGCCTCAATTTCTTTATCTGTCAAATTAAGGAGTTTGACTAGATATTTCCAGCTTCCAGTCCTATGACACTTGTGTGATCCTGAACAAGTCTTTTTTCCTCTCTGGACCTCTGTTTTTCCATCTGTTCAATGGGGAGAATGATCCCTACTCTCCCTACTTTCTAGGGCCATGATGAGTTGCAAGTAAGAAGCCATTGCTTGGATCCTGGGTGCAGGGAAGCTCACAGCCCCTGCTTACCTTCTGTCCTGGCCTCTCTCTCCTCTCCCAGCCCTGCAGATGGATATCACCAACCTGTACAACCTCAAGTTTCAGCCCACAGCTCTCGCTGCAGAGCCAGGCAGCCAGAACCGGAGCCGGAGCCGAAGCCCTGAGGGCAGCCCCCTGCACTGTGCCGCCCCTGCACCTGCTGTTCCCGGGCTGTCCAAGAAAAGAGAAGAATCAGGAGAATTGAGCAGGGCCACTGTCCGGCTGCTGGAGGAACTAGACAAAGAGAGGTAAGAGGGAGCAGGGAAGATGAGGCCCTTCAAGAGTGTTGACCAATATGAACAGCCCTGGAATCAGGAGGCCTGGGTTTGAGTCCTGAGTCTGCCACTAACTCGGTGTTCTGCCTTGAGCAAATCTCTTCCTTTCTCTGAGCCTCCTTGCTGTGTGACCTTGGACAGGTCACATATCTTCTCTGGGCCCCAGTCTCTCCATTCAGACAATGTGAGTGGGCAGCACAATCCCTGTCCCTCTGAGTGTTGTCATGGGAAGGGTCCAGGGCTCTGGGAACATGCTGGAGGTCTTTGGGAGAAAGAGGTGATTCAACATCCTGCTTTTTATCTCTTCTACCTCTCATCTTGGAGGGTGGGAATGAGTCAGGAACCTCTCTGGAATTTATAGAACCTTTGCATCAACTGCGAACAGCACAGTGACCATTTTTCACTTTAGTTTTTGGTCCCATCTACCCCCTCAGTATCTGACTTTATTTGCCTTGTGTCCTATTTCTTCTCTCTTTGCCTTATTTCTCTCTCTCTCTCTCTCTCTCTCTCTCTCTCTCTCTCTCTCTCTCTCTCTCTCTCTCTCTCTCTCTCTCTTTGGCTAGGCAATGGGGTTAAGTGACTTGCCCAGGATCACACAGCTTGTAAGCGTCAAGTGTCTGAGACCAGATTTGAACTCAGGTCCTCCTAACTCCAGAGCCGGTGCTCCATCCACTGTGCCACCTAGCTATCCCCTCATTTCTCTTCCACTATGAGTTTTCTGTCAAGTCGATTCAACTCAACCATCATTTTTATGTGTGCCTATTGGAGCCCCAAAATTGATGTTGGGGAATATATTCAAACAAGAGAAGATCCCAGACCTTAGGCACTGTACAAGGAGCCCTAAGCTTGGAGCCAAGAGACTCCAATCCTTTACTAGCCATGTGACCTTGAATAAGTCAATTCCCACCCTTGAGCCTCAGTTTCTCTATCTGCTAAATTAAATTAATGACACTTGACTAAAACTCACTTCCTCCCGGGCTTGTTGAATGGAAAGTCCTTTGCAAACAATGACACAGACAGAGAAGAGAGCTAAGGTTGTTACTGGGAGATTAGTGAGAGAGAGAGAGAGAGAGAGAGAGAGAGAGAGAGAGAGAGAGAGAACACTGATGGCATCCTCTCATCTATGTCCTTCCCATCTCCCACCAGGTGCTTCCTGCTGGCAGAGATTGAGAAGGAAGAACAAGAGAAACTCTGGTATTATGGGCAGCTCCAGGGCTTGTCCCAGCGACTAGATGAGCTGCCTCGGTCGGAGACGGTGAGGGGGAATGGGGCAAGGTGGAGGGTCCAAGGGTTTGAGTTCTACATCTGAAGAGTTGGGGAGGGGACTTGTGTGGCTGGACTGTTCAGCTGTCATCTCTGGGAGAGAGGAGGAATCCCCCTCCAGCCCTATGGTCCACCCTCACCACCCCTCCAGCTTTATTTGTTTTTTGGTAGTTTTAATTCTATTTTCAGTTTTGAATGCTCTCCCTTCCTTCATGCGTTGAGAAGGCAAGAAAATCTAAACCCCCTACAAATATGTACATTCATGCGAAATAAATTCCCAGAGCATCCATGTAAAAAAATAAAGAGAAAAAAAATCTGCTTCAATCCATTCTGAGTCCATCAGCTGTCTATCTGGAGGTAGATAGCATGTTTCATCATGAGTCCTTTCAAACTGGGGTTGGTCATTGTGTTGATCAGAGTTACTGTCTGTCACAGTAATTATCTTTACAATATCGCTGTTGCTGTATAAATTGTTCTGATTCTGCTCACTTCACTCTATATCAGTTCATACAAGTCTTCCTAGGTTTTTCTGAAACTACCCCCTTCATTATTTCTTACAGCATAACAGTATCCCATCACATTCGTAACTTGTTCGGCTGTTCCCCAGTTGAGGGGCATCCCTTCAATTTCCATTTCTTTGCCATTACAAAAAGAGAGGCTATAAATATTTTTGCACACATGAGTCCCTTCCCTCTTTCTTTGAGCTCTTTGGGGTATAGACCTAGTAGCAGAATCCCTCGGTCAAAGGGTATACACAATTTAATAGCATAGTTCCAAACTGCTTTTCAGAATGGTTGGACACAGCCCCACCAAAAGTGCTTTAAAGAACTCGTTTTCTCACAGATCCTGCCGCGTTGTCATTTTCCTTTTTTGTTATATCCCTTTCAGTTTTCCATGCAGACAGACCTGATCCGGCAGCAGCTGGAGTTCGAAGCTCAGCACATCCGAGCGCTGATGGAAGAGCGATTCGGGACCTCGGACGAGATGGTGCAGAGGGCTCAGGTGGGGACCGGGAACCTGACACTAGAAAGACCTCCCTCCACCTTTATAAAAACACACACGGTCAGGGAGAGCTTTGGGCTGAGGACTAGAGGTGGAGGGAGGACTAGACTGAAGAGAGGGCGCAGAGCCAAGGACTGGGACTGGATTGAGGGCAGTGATGGAGCCAAGGATTAGGAGTGGGGCCAGACGCAAAGACTCGATTGAGGGCACTGATGGAGCCAGCGCCTGAGGTCCGAGTCACGGACTGGGGCCGGCTGGTGGCAGGGCGTGAAGCCAGGGGGCGGAGCCGGGGTTGGGGGTCGCGCTTGCTTGGAGACGGACCCTAGCCCAATATTTTAACACCGTAGATCCGAGCCTCTCGCCTGGAGCAGATTGAGAAGGAGCTTGCGGAAGCCCAGGCTCAGACCCAGACCCGGGAACGGGCGCAGCAGCCGCAGCCAGAGCACCAGGTACCTCGGGGTGGTGACATCCGGGCTCAGGAGACGCCTGCCTCACCTCCCCACTCCAGTTTGGTCACCACTGTGCTCTGGGTGCTCCCGAGTCCCTGGGAAGTGGAAGTGAGGGATGGGGGGGGGGAGGCCAGCCCCAAAACCGTTACCTCCCATCTTCCCTAGAGGACAAGCCGAACTATGAGGGAGGCACAAATGAATGAGATCTAATGGTGGAACTGTTGGCATCATAGGGGCGGAGAGGAGAGGAGAGAACCTTGGGGCAGGAACTGTAGGACAGGGAGCTAGGAACATTTCAAGTTAGCCTCCTTGCCCTCTGCAAGGGGTGTGTGAGTGTGTGTGTGTGTGTGTGTGTGTGTGTGTGTGTTCAATTTGATAAGCATGTTTGTGTGCCTACTATATGCTAGGCACTGAGCTAGGCACAAGGGCAAACATGAAATAGACTTTGTCCTCAGGGAGCTTACACTCCACTGCAGGGAAACACCATGAACTCAACATGTAAGTAAATAGGAAATATTTTTTGAGAAGCCAGTCAAAGTAACTGAGGAAATCAAGAAATGGTAGCCTGTGGGAGGTGTCACTTGAGCCAGACATTAAAGGGGACTGAGGGTTCCAAGAGACGAGAGGGAGCCTTGGAAGGAGAGCTTTCCAGGCCTTGGGGGGCAACCCAGGGGGGAGGTGGGATGGAAGGGGAACCAGGAGTGGGTGAATTTGCCTGCAGTGTTTATGAGGGGGAGTCTTGGGAAATAAGTCTATAAAAATAGCTTGAAACCAGATTGCAATGGCTTTAAATGCCAAACAGAAACTTGCATTTCCTCCTAGAGGCGACAGGAAACCACTGAAGTTTCTTAAACAGGGGAATGACAAGGTCAGATGTGTGCTTCTACAAGGTGTGCTGGAGCCAGCTAGACAATGCGAGCCAGTTGTTAAATGTTCATTTACACCTCTAAAATCGGCAACATCTACCAATCAAGGCTTGATTGACTTTTATTGATTGTCTAGATTTAGGAAAGTGTTTATATACATATATATATATATATATATATATATATATATATATACACACACACACATATATACACCTATATATACACCTATATCTACATCTATGATTTGGCAGCTGTATGGAGAAATGGAAGGCAAGAAGCCCAATTAGGGGCTGTTTGGATAATTCAGGAGAGGTGATAACAGCCCAGACTGGAATGATGCCTTTTATGAGTAAAGAGGAGATGGAAATGAGAGATTTTATAAAGGGAGACTGGACAGCTGGTCGAGTGTGAGGGCTAAGGGAGAGTCAAGAGCTTAAGATGATTCATAGGTTGTAAACCTGGGTGCCTGCAGGGGTAATGGTGCCCATAATGGAAACAGAGGAGCTAAGAAGAGGGGTGTTCTTTTTTGTTGAGGGGAGACAATGAATTCTCTGTTGGACGCATTAAGTTTCAGTTGCCAATGGGACGTTGAGGTGGAGATATCCATTGGGCAACTAGTTGGTGATACAGGTCTGGAGCTCAGGAGAGAGATGAGAGCTGGGTATATAGATCTGGGAGTCTTCTGTGTAGAGGTGATAACTGAACCCATGGGGTATGATATGATGAGAGAGAGACAGAGATGAGAGACAGACAGACAGGAGAGAGAGAAATGGGAGAGAGAGACAGGAGAGGAGGGGGGAGATGAGAGAGCGAGGGGGGGAGGAGAGAGAGAGAGAGAGAGAGGGAAGGAGAGGAGAGGAGAGGAGAGGAGAGAGAGAGAGAGAGAGAGAGAGAGAGAGAGAGAGAGAGAGAGAGAGAGAGAGAGAGAGAGAGAGAGAAGAAAAGAGGGCCCAGGACAGAGCCCAAGGCATACCTATATTAGAGGGCAGTACATGAAACAAAAGCTCCCTTCTTCCCACAGACCTTGCTAGGGGCAAAGCCAGCAGGAGCAGAGGGGGATGGGGAGGCAGAAATCCCCACACACCCAGAGGATGGAACCAGCCAACTCAGCAACAGCAAGGTAAGAATTGAAAAGCCGTGCCCACACTTCCAAGAGCTGGGACAAAGAAGACCTGGGTCAAACAGGGGTATGTGGGCTTGGTTGGTCTGGGGATGGTGCAGCAGGGGTGGTTCCAAAAGGAATCATCCCAAGATGGGGAGAGGGGATGGATGGGTTCTCAGGGCATCTAGGTAGGGATGAAGAGCAGGGCTTAGGGATCTAGGAGGTGACAGAGAACAAGGGTCCCCATTGGAGACTGAACACGTTCATCACCACCACAGGTGGAAGTGGTGTTCTGGCTACTGTCCATGCTGGCCACGAGGGATAAGGAGGACATGGCACGGACCCTCCTGGCCATGTCAAGCTCCCAGGAGAGCTGTGTGGCCATGCGCCGCTCTGGCTGCCTGCCGCTCCTGCTGCAGATCCTCCATGACGCTGACCGTGAGGCGGGCCCCGCCGAGGGGGCCAAGGATGCCCGCATGCGGGCCAACGCAGCCCTACACAACATCATCTTCTCCCAGCCTGATGAGGGCCAGGCCAAGAAGGAGATGCGAGTGCTGCACGTGTTAGAGCAGATCCGCTCTTACTCTGAGACCTGCTGGGACTGGCTTCGGATGCAGGGCCGAGATGGGGGCCAGGGCCCTGAGGGGGGTGCTGGTGAGTGAGTAGGGGGTGGGAAGGGAGGGCCTAGAAGGGGAGGTACCTGTTGGAAAGAGCCAAGTGATCTGGGTTCTCGTCTCATCCTTATCATTGACTTGTCCTGCCTTAGACACTCCCTTGCTGTGTGACCACAGACAAGAGCCTGTTTTCTCATCTATAAAATGGGGATAATAACATTTGCCTCTCCTCCTCACAGGATCACTTTGGGGAAAGCATTTTGCAAGCCTTTCTGTGCTTTAGAAATGTCAGATATAATTATTATTGACTTGAATGACTTTGCATGAGTCACCTCACCTCTCTAGGCCTCAGTTTCCACACCTGCCTCTGAGCATTGGGTGACCTTCTCCTTCCTCTTTCCCTCTCCCCCAGGGCCCGTTCCTATTGAGCCGCAGATCTGCCAAGCCACATGTGCAGTGATGAAACTCTCTTTTGATGAGGAATACCGCCGGGCCATGAATGAACTTGGTGGGTATAGAGGGAGGGAGGAAAGGAGGGAGGACAGTAGATTCACTGCTGAGTACTGGGAGAGACTCCAGGGAGATCTGTCAGCTGTTCTTTGGGAGAGGCCTTGCTACATGCTTGGTGAAGGGGAGGGGTGGGGAGAGGGAGGCCACAGGGAAGAACTGGGCTCCTCTCCTCTTCTTGGATTCAGTGGATGACACCCATCCTCACCTACACTCATGCAGAAGGATCTCTTAATGTACTAGGAGTGCAGAGAAAGTGCTATGAGAAATTTGAAGAGGGAAGGGTCATTTTCACCTGTTCAGTGGAGGAAGTAGGTTCAGCAGAATCCTAATCAGGGTAGGGTGGAAGGGGCTTTGTCCCAAGGTGCCAAATTTAGAGGGAGCTGACATTACCAGTGGTCTGTTAGCCAAGCAGAAATAACCAAGATTAGCACCAGTCAATCAACAATCATTCATTTAATGTCTGCTTATGAGCCAGGCATTGTGTGAGGGGATGGGGATACCAGTACAAGGACTGAAATAATCCCTACTCACAAGGAGAGATAAGAATTGATAGAGATAGGTAGATAGATGCACATGGTTTTATCTATCAGTCTATATAGATAGATATAGATGGTGTACTTATCTATAGATATGTACATATAGGTATATATGTATGCAGGATAAATATAAAGTTAATAAAATGCAAAAAGATGCAATGCCATTAAACACAAGGTAGTCTGGGAGGAAGGGAGGACACTAGCTTGTTGGGAGGAGCCAGGAAAGGTCTCCTGCAGAAGATGGTGCCTGAGCTACCTCCCAAAGGAAAAGGGAGGCACGCCAAGGCAGGGGTAAGGACAGAATACATTCCAGGCATGAGGAATGGCTATTATGCAGGCACAGAGAGAGAAGATGGAGTGTTATGTGGGAGGGGCAAAGAGAAAGCCAATGCAGCCCTGGATCACAAACTGTGGGAGGGGGAGTGAGGTCCACAAGCCTGCAATGATAGCTTGGGGCCAGACTGTGAAGGGCTTTAAAAGCTGAAGAGGGTTTATGTTTCATAGTTAAGATGCGATAGGAAGCCACTGGAGTTGACCAAATAGGGAAATCACAGAGTTAGATCTGCATCTGAGGACAATTACTTGGGTGGCAGGGTGAAGGGTGAACTGGAATGGGGAGAGATTCAAGGCAAGGAGACCAGTGAGGTGATTGCAACAATAATTGAGGTGAGAGTAACTGTGTGAATCTGGGCAAGTCACTTAATGCCCGTCTGCCTCAGTTTCCTCATCTGTAAAATGTGGTTAATAATAACCTACCACCCAACACTGTGGTGAACGTGGGAGGCTATGTGAGAAGGGAGAAGGAGCTGGATGTGAGAGGTGTAGTGGAGGTAGAAATGGTAAGATTGGGGAAAGGGAGAAGTCAAGGAGAATGATAAATCTGGGAGACTGTAAGGATGGCGATACCTTTGACAGAAACAGAGAAGCTAGAAGGGGAAAATATAAGAAATTCAGTTTGGAATATGTTGAGTTAGAGATGTCTCCGGTACATTCGTTTTGAGATGTCCACTAGGCAATCGGTGATGCACAAATGAAGCTTAGATGACAGATGAGGGCTAGAAACACACACACACACACACACACAAATACTCACATGCATACATACACACATGTATATACACACATACACATCTATATGTGTGTTGTACAGATGATACACCATGTAACTGTGTATATGTGTATGGACAGCTAGGTGGCACAGTGGATAAGGTGCTGGGCTTGGAGTTAGGAATACCTGAGTTCAAAATTGGGCCTCAGACACTTACTAGCTGTGTGACCCTGGGCAAGTCACTTAATCCAGTTTCCACATCTGTCAAATGAGCTGAACAAGGAAATGGCAAACCACTCCAGTATCTTTGCCAAGAAAATCCCCAATGGAGTCACGAAGAGTCAGAAACTGGCCTCAGACACTTGACACTTGCTAGCTGTGTGACCCTAGGGAAGTCACTTAACCCCCTCAGACACTTGACACTTACTAGCTGTGTGACCCTAGGGAAGTCACTTAACCCCGATTGCCTCACCAAAAAGAAAAAAATAAAAGTAAAAATAAAGAGGGGGAGGCTTGGGCATGTCTGAAAGCAGTAAGGAAGGAACCACTTGATAGGGAGAAATTGAAGATTAGAGATATGAGGGGGGGATGATTGAGGGGTTAGGAGCAAGCACACTTATGGAGCCTTTGGTCCTAACCAGGAGAAGCCTTTGTTAGATACACCCTAGGGAAAAGGAGGAGAGTGTGGGAGATGCCAAGGGGCTTTGGAATGAAGAGAGTGGAAGAAAAGGGAAGCCAGGCCAAATGACCTCAGTTTTTTTCAGGAAAGTCTAAAAAGGGTCTTCAGCTGGGGTGGGGGTGGGGAGGAGGTGAGGAAGGTTTGAGGAGGGAAGAGAAGGCTTGGAATAGCTTCTGTGGGGAATGAAATAGAGAATGGAATAAGGAGGAAGAAAAGGACTGCCTTGCTGTGGTAAAGACTTAGTTGAGCCTTGCATACCATGCATTGGGCATGTGCCCAGTTGGTGTGGCAGCAGCTTGTGGGTAGGATCAGAAGGAGGCCGGGGGAGGGAATAGGGTTTGGGGACAAGATGATGAACCAGTCTTGGACGTGCTAAGTCTGAGAGGAGGGCAGGGCCACCAAGGGGGATGCCCAGCAGGCGGTGGTACGTTATGCTTTGCCCCTGAGCGGGAGCTCAGAGATCATTAAGGGGAGGCTGGATTGTCAGGGTTGTGCGCAGTCAATTCCTGCTCAGCTCCTGGCAGGCTATGTCTCCATGCCCTTGGACATCCCTTCTGCTCCAGGATTCTATGGCAAGGCTGAAGGGAGAGATAAAGTTGTTTTGGCTCTAGGCTGGCAGGCGCCATTACTGGTGTGTGATGTGGGTTTGCTGTTGACATCCTGGAAACCTCTGCCCCTGAGGGATGGTGTCCTTGTGAAGCAATGGGAGGGGAAACATCTGTGGGCATGACTATGTTGCTGTGTCACTTTATTTGGGGGGCGGGTGTTAAATGTAAGCATGAGGTCAGCGTTGAAAACCTGTAAGTATTTCTGCCTCAGCTTTAGACTGATGAAAGCTGTAGGAGTTAGGAGACAGGATGGGTTTCCCTTGAGACAAGATAGTGGTGAGAAGGAGGAATTCAGGCTAGGCCAGGCATGCAACGGTGGTAATAGGAGAAGCAGAAGGGATGGTCCCTTACACACCCCAGGGGGCAGGGAGTGAAGGTAGATCAAGGCAAAAAGACAGAACAGTGCAGGAGAAATAGGAAAGGTTCAAGTTCCAATTTTATTATTAACTAGCTGTGTGACCTTGGACAAGTTGTTTAAACTGAGTCTCAGTTTCCTGATCTATAAAATGAGGATGATAATACCTGCACAATGCTACTGAGGTTCTAAGCCCTAAACACCTAGGCCATGCTCTGGTGGAGCCTGCTAAGAGAGAGTGCATGATGGAATGGGAAGAGCCCTGTACTTAGAGTTGGGAGACTTGGGTTTGAATCTTGGCTCTGATGCTTACTGGCTTTGTGACCCTGGGCGAGTTGCTTAATGTGAGCTACAGTTTCCTCTTCTATAGAAGGGGCTAACAACATTTGTGCTCCTCACCTCAAGGTAGGATGTGGAGGAAAGTGCTTTGTAACTCTTAACAGCATTGTAGAAATGTAAGTTATCTTTACTGTAAGTCAAGGCCTGGTGGAACCATTTGTGTTTAGCCCAGTTAAGTACATACAGGCATATCACCAGAGGCTTGGCCATCATGGCGGGGGGAAGTTTTTTTGGCCACAGCAACTCCTTTGATGTCTTTTAAGGCACAGAGAGTTTGGGATCTTCATTGTTGGCCAGAGGCCTACCACATAAGACTTATTGATGATGAAAGCATGATTTGTTTTTTTTTCCTGGTTTTTGTTTTTGTTTTTTAAGAAATAATAAAATAATAATAAAAGAAGACAGAGACAGAATGGGACAGTGGAAAGAACCCTAGGCTAAGAGTCAAGATGCCTGGGTTCTAATCCCCTTGACCTTGAGCAAGTCTTTTTTCTGGGCCTCAGTTTCTTTTATAGATCAGCTTCCTGATCTATAAAATGGAAATAATAACCTGTGCATACCTCAGAAGTCGCTTAGAATGTAAGCTCCTTGAGAGTAGGGACTGTTCAGGGCAGCTAGGTGGTACAGTGGATAGAGCACAGGGCCTGAAATCAGGAGGACCTGAGTTCAAATCCAGCCTCAGACCAAACAGTTGACACTTACTAGCTATGTGACCGTGGGCAAGTCACTTAACTCCAATTGCCTTTAAAAAAAAAAAAAGAAAAAGAGATTAGGGACCGTCTATTTGTACCTCCAGCACTTAGCACAGTGCCTGGCACACAGAAGGTGCTTAAGAAATGTTTATCGATTGATTTTCTGGTGCCTCCCCTTGCCGTGGAGATGACTGAGCTCTTAAAGTTCAGTGTATTTGCCTAAGTTCCCATCCAGGGCTGCTCTGAGGAAAGCATTTTCGTGCGGCCTGCTATTGTCCTCGCTGAGGAACACGGCTGCCAGGCCTCACCTGGGGGTGTGACAGCTCTCTTCTTGCAGGTGGGCTGCAGGCTGTCGCAGAATTGCTGCAGGTGGATTATGAGATGCATAAGATGACCAATGACCCTCTGAACCTGGCCCTGCGGAGATACGCGGGCATGGCCCTCACCAATCTCACCTTTGGCGATGTCGTCAATAAGGTGCGTGTGCTTGTCGGGGTTTGGCTGGGGGGGGACCTGCCCCAACCCCTGGCCCAGGACTCCACTACTGAGAGGGGAGTACAAAGGGATAATGTGGGAGAATTTGATGTCGCCATCATTCTAACCCTGCGAAAGGCTAGGGGCACCCTTGGGACTTCCTCCTGGGTACCACAGGATGGCTTAGCACTCATCCCAAAAAACCAACCAGCTATGCGACTCTGGGCAAGTCCCTCCCCCTATCTGAGCCTCAGCTTCCTCATCTGGAGAATAAGGGGTTGCACAGGAGTGTCCCTGAGGCCACATGTGGTCCTCCAGGTCCTCAAGTTCGGCCCTTTCACTGAATCCAAACTTCACAGAAATCCTCTTAATAAAAAGATTTGTTCTGTATAACTTGGACTCAGTCCTCAGTCAAAAGGCTGCACTCAAGGACCTAGAAGGCCACATGTGGCCCTGAGGCCGCATGTTCCCCGCCCCTACGTGACTAGATGATCGCTAATGTCTCTGTGGCACCTCCAACATTCCACATACTACGTTCATTCACTAAACTGTAAGCTCCCTGAAGGTAGGGACTTAGGTTTTTGTCTTTCTATCCCTAGCACCTAACAGTGCCTGGAACTTAGTAGACTCAAGTGTTATCTCTTGCTGAATTCTATGGTTCTTTCCGTTTTTGAAGGCAGCCATCGCTGGTATGGACATGGTCTGGAGTCTGGGGTACCTTTCCATGTCCTCTTTTTCCTATAACCCAAATTAGTTCCAGATTATTTAGCCTCTGTTTCATAGAGGATGAAACCAAGGCTCAGATAGGGGAGGTCACGTACAGGTCAACGACAGAGCCAGGAGTAGACCCTGGGGTACTCCCCTTGGGGATTGGGGATCTAGGAGACCCTACCCCTGAAGGTGAATTAGAATCCCTGGGTGCACATAGATAGTACAAGCCCAAGATAATAGCAGGAGATGCTCTCAGACTGGACTTTCCTTTGATGTCTAAGTAAGACATCACTGAAACGCCCTCTCCCGTTCCTTGGCAGGCCACACTGTGCGCCCGGCGGGGCTGCATGCAGGCCATCGTGGCCCAGTTGGCCTCGGACAGTGAGGAGCTCCACCAGGTAGGTTGGTTAAACTCTCTGGGCCCAGAGCCAGAACCCAGGGGAAGGCAACGGGCAGCTGTAGGTATTGGGGATTGGATGGGTCTAGGCCCCCAAGGAGGATGTTAGCCCGGTGCTAGGCCCCATCTCTGTCCTTAGAACTCTTTTTCGGACAGGTTTCCAGTTCCCTCTGCGCCTTGGTCACCCTTCTGCAGGCGCTCTAGTTTGCCAGTGCTCTTGCCCACGTGGGATGTCCAGAACTGAACATAGTACTGTAAACTCTTATCAGGGCATTAGCTATTCATTCTCATTTATTCTGGACACTGCGCCTCTGCTTGCATTAACTTTTTTGATGCCAATTCATATTGTTGACTCATATTAAGCTGGCAGTCCACTTAGATCCCCAAATCTTCTTTTAAAAAATTCTAAATTTAGGAGCCATCAATAAAAACAAACATTTTAATATGTGAACAAGAATAAAAAAACACAAACCTTCTAAATTTATTCTCTGTAGTTTTTCTTTTAAAAAGTATAGGCCCCAGGTCCTTTTTTTTTAATCTAATTAGCCACATCTCTTCCATCCTGTTTTTTGCATCATTTTTTTTTTTGCTTTAACACATAAGCCCAGGACTTTACACTCTTCTCTTTTGAATATCCATCCTTCTCTATCCCTGTCCTCCAGGTGGTGTCCAGCATCCTTCGCAACCTATCCTGGAGGGCAGATATCAACAGCAAGAAGGTCCTACGGGAGGTGGGCAGTATGACCGGGCTCATGCAGTGTGCTCTTCGAGCCACCAAGGTGAGCCCCAGACCAACAAGGTGGCACAGTGGATGGAGCGCTGGGCCTGGAGTCAGGAAGATCTGAGTTCAAATCCAGTCTCAGATACTTACTAGTTATGTGACCCTGGGCAAGTCAATTAACTTGTTTTCCTCAGTTTCTTCATCTGTAAAATGGGGCCTACCTTGTAGGGTTGTTGTGAGGATCAAATGGGATCATATTCATAAAGCACTTAGCACAGTGCCTAGCACACAGTAGGTGCTACGTAAATGCTTATTCCCATGGTGACTTGTCCGACATGACCTAGCTGCTTCTGCCATCTAGCCCCTCAGCAGTGCTAAGGGTGGTCTGTCCCCACTCCATGCTTCAAGGGAGCATCCAGGCACTGAGAGAAAGGTGAAGAGGAAAAGGTTCCTAATATGAGGACCCCTTTTGAATGACAAAAAAATTCACCCCCCCAACTACACACACACCAGTAGCTATATTATAAGTATCTGATGATTGACAAAATAATGGATTTGAATGGATTTGCATTTTGTTGATCACATCAGCATCTCTATATATTTGAAAAAGTCATACTTTATGCATGAAACAGATGGAAAGAAAGTAGATCCCCATTGCCAAACCAATCCTAAGAGTCTCTTTCCAACCCTATCTCATTCAGCAGACCACCAAGGTGTTCATTTTTTGCACTGACCATAGGGTACAGTGACTTAAACAAAGTGTGTCTTGGGGGAGGAGGGTCAGTGGGCCATTGAAGGCTGTCCTCCCTGTGGTCTCTCTGTCATCTCCCCCTCTAATCTCTGTTATCATTCTCACCATTGTCACCCTCTCCTGCAGTCTCAACATTACGGAGTCTAGCTAGCGCTAGAGGTTGTCCCACTTGGAAGAGGCCATCCCAGACCTAAGGCTAGAGGCTCTCCCGCCCAACTGTCTAGGGATTCGCCTCTGTGCACTTAGTAGAGATTCTGTGAAACCTCTTCTGGAATGAGGACCCCTTCTGAGTGACAAAAGGCTCCATTCCTCTTCCCAGCTCCCCAAACCCAGCAGGGGCTGTGCTCTGAGTATCTGTTGAGAAAAATGCACAGTGACAAAAGGCAGCTGTGAGTTCTGTAGTGTTTTTGAACAGATGCATATTTTATTAAACACAACAGCGTCCACATACATTTGAGAAGTAGCAATACTCTGAGATGTGTGAGGCACATTATTTATTCAGCCGGCAGAAGAAGTGTACGCTTGTGTATTATACAGTGACTGTGCAGGTTTTCTTGGTGCTAATTAAAGGTAAAAAATAAATTAATTTTAAAAAAAGGTAAAAAATAGTGGCACACGTGGATGAGCTTGCATGCACACACACATAGGTATGCGTATATGTACACATATATAATACATATATGTACAACATATACCTATATAATACATATCTATACATCTCTACACATATACATATATATACATACACATACACATACATATATAATATATATATATATATGTACACACATACATATAAACCCCTCCCTTGAAATAGAAAATGCTGGGGCCTCTACTGTGGAAGCACTGATCTAGTTAAACTTCCTTATTTTACAGATGAGGAAACTAAGCTGGGGTGGGGGAGGGGATACTTGCCTAAGGTCACCCAGCTAGTTAGTGGCAGAATGGGACAGGGATTCTTGGCCTTCCCTGTCCCCAGCTCCTCCTATTGCATCACTCTGACCTCCTGGTTACCATCTAATCCTACGATAACACACACATTTACTAAATACTTTCTATGCTCCAAGTGCGGAGGGATAGTTATAAAGATGCTGTTTATCCTGTATGTGTCTTGTATGTACACAGTTGTTTACATACTGTGTTCCCTCTCCCCTCCCCCACCATTAAATAAGAGCTCCTTAATGGCGGAGACCATGCTTTTTGCCTTTCTTTCTATCCCTAGCACTTAGCCCAATGAGCACAGAGTGAGCATGTGATAAATTTCTTGATGATGATGAAGAAAAAAACCACAGGTCTTACCCTCAAGGAGCAATCTTCTACAGTCATCTCTGTCCCTTCTTTCATCCCTGTTTCTGCCATCTCTAACCTCTTCTTCCATCCCCATCTCTCCAAGTCAAACCTTGTCTTGATTAGAGAAGACACAAGGTCACACAAAGCAGGAGAGAAGGGAATAGAGCAAGAAAAAGGATAAACAAGAATCCATTCCAGGGAAGCAGTGGTTGGGAGTGGTAAGGAAGGAGCCCTCGGTCCCAGGAGTGGGATTGGAGGTTGGTGTGGCTGGGAGAGGATAGACTTGGGCATGAATGAGCTGGTACAGTCTCAGAGGTGGAAGGTGGTAGTGCCAGATGAACAGGGAATGACTTCAATTCTCCCCCTCCCAGGAGTCCACACTGAAGAGTGTCCTCAGCGCCCTATGGAACCTGTCGGCCCACAGCACAGAGAACAAGGCCGCCATATGCTTGGTGGATGGAGCCTTGGGCTTCCTAGTCAGCACTCTCACCTATAAGTGCCAGAGTAACTCACTAGCCATCATTGAGAGCGGCGGGGGCATCCTCCGGAATGTGTCCAGCCTCATCGCCACCCGGGAGGACTACAGGTCAGTCAGCTCTCTCCCTCTACTCTTACTATCCCCTCCCTCCCCTATGCTGCCTGGCTCCAAAATTCTAGGACAGCGAGCTGCTGCTGGTTTGGAAACCAATGCTAACATTGCTTAGAAACAGTTTTTATTCTCTTAGGTGGGTTAACCCTTCTCCTGGTTCATTCTGGTTCCCATTCCATAACAGCCCAGGTGACATTGTCATAAGACTCTCTGAGCTGAAAGGGATAACTGAGGACAGGTAGCCCAACCTGTCCCATAAGTGCACGTCTACTAGGATTCAGGCCTCCACATGGAGATTTCTGGCGAATGGGGTGATCACTACCTTCAGAAGCAGAAGGATCTATTTCGGGATAGCTCTAATCACTAATCTGTCTCCCTGACCCATTGTTCTAAGCCCTGGGGCCAAGCAGAAAAGGTCAGACTCCTCTTCCTCTTACTATTGCTAGTTCTCATTTAAACAGCTCTTTAAGCTTTACAAAGGGCTTTTCTCTCAGAACGCCCTCTTCCCTAAGCCATCCACATGGTCATCATGGCATGTGGAGATCATCCAGTCCGGTTCCCTTATTTAAAGCACCTGAGGCCCACAGCCCAAAGTCATAACAGGAATCTGGAAAATTCTGACTCGACAGATTCCCCCAACAAATGGGCCTGGGTCATGACTCCAGGAAGGTGGCCTATTTGGAGAGTTCTCTCCTCCAGCCCCCTTGTGGACTCCCCACAAGCCTGAAGCTGGGGAGGTGTTTAATGGGGGTCCCCTCCCTTATCTCCTCCCTCCAGGCAGGTGCTCCGGGACCACAACTGCCTTCAGACGCTCCTCCAGCACCTGAGGTCCCACAGCCTGACCATCGTGAGTAATGCCTGCGGGACCTTGTGGAACCTGTCAGCTCGCAGTCCCCGCGACCAGGAGCTGCTGTGGGACCTGGGGGCCGTGAGCATGCTGCGGAACCTGATCCACTCCAAGCACAAGATGATAGCGATGGGCAGCGCCGCCGCCCTGCGTAACCTGCTCACGCACCGGCCCCTCAAATACAAGGACACGGCGGCCGTCATCTCCCCAGGCTCCTGCATGCCCAGCCTCTATGTACGAAAGCAGAAGGCCCTAGAGGCCGAGCTGGACGCCAGGCACCTGGCCGAAGCTCTGGATACGATGGAGAAGCAGAGCCTGAAGGGTCAGGTTGCCAAGAAGCCCCCGCTACGCCACCTGGACAGTCTGGTCAAAGACTACGCCTCCGATTCTGGTTGTTTTGATGACGAGGATGTGCCCGCCCTGGCCCCCGGGGTGGAGGTGGGTAATCCCTCCGTCCTCTCCATGTTTCTCAACAGTCCTTACCTGCAGGGTCAGGCCTTGCCACGCATGACGGCCCCACGCCGAGGTCCCGAAGCAGAGAAGGAGGACGGCAGCAGCGGCAGAGGCAGTATGGATGCCAAGAAGGGGGTGATGGATGGGACCGCGGCGGCGGCTGAGAAACTGGCCACCAAACTCTCTGTGGCCGTGGCCAAGATCGATAAACTGGTGGAGGACATCTCGGCCCTGCACACCTCCTCAGAGGACAGCTTCAGCCTCAGTTCGGGTGACCACGGGCTGGACTGGCCCTCAGGGCCCGGGGAGGTCCGGGAGGCCAGGGCCCAGTCATGCTCACCCTGCCGGCTGCCTGAGGCAGGGAGGAGGGAAGGGGTAGGGAGGGCCCACCCGCTCCTCAGGCTGAAGGCGGCTTACAGCAGCCTGTCCAATGACAGCTTAAACAGCAGCAGCACCAGTGACGGCTACTGCCCCCGAGAACACATGAATCCCTCCCCAAGGGCCTCGTTTGCCAGCTATCGAGAGGAGCTTCAGAGGTACCAGCAGCGCCCCAGCCGGCTGGACCTTAAGAACATCGTGGCTACCCAGCCAGACAGGAGAGAGCCCCCTTCTCAGGAGTCCGCTGCCCCCCAAAGGCCAGAAACCCAGGATGGGCTGCAGAAGTCATCCGTATTCCCTGGGGAGTGGGCCCTGAGGAAGGAGTCAGAGTGGCCCAAAGACAGGGAGGGCAAGCTTGCCACTGATTCTCACGTGCACACCATCAAACTGTCGCCCTCCTATCAGCATGTGCCTCTGCTGGAGGGTATGGCCAAGGTCGGTGCTGTTCCCTTTCCCAGCAACGGGGCCGGTCCAGCAGCCAGGAAGCAGGCCTGGTTGCCCACAGGGACCCTGAAAGGCACTGAGGGTCTGAGCAGGATCCCTGAGAAGCTGCCAGCCCCAGCCCCACCTGCTCCGGCAGCAGAAACCTTACAGAAGTATTCCGTGGAGGACACACCCATCTGCTTCTCCAGATGCAGCTCCCTCTCCTCCCTCTCCTCAGCCGACCATGGCATGGATGGGAGAAGCCGCAGTGAAGACAACGGGCTGGACAGTGACTCTTCCCTGGAGATCCTGGAGGAGCCCGGGCCCGGCGAGGGAGAGGATGACGGGATGGAGGATTGGAGGCCCCGTGGGACTGCCTCCCTGCCTGTGGCCATCCCTGCCCCACGGGGCGACCAGGCTTTCTTGTCCCAGGCCCGGGGGGATGAAGGCGCCTCTCCCTCCCGACAAGAAGACATGACGCCCTCCAGTTCCTCCGAGAACTACATCCAGGAGACCCCCCTCGTCATGAGCCGCTGCAGCTCCGTCAGCTCCCTGGGCAGCTTTGAGAGCCCCTCCATTGCCAGCTCAATCCAGAGTGACCCCTGCAGTGAGATGGTGAGTGGCACCGTGAGCCCCAGTGAGCTTCCCGACAGCCCAGGGCAGACCATGCCCCCCAGCCGGAGCAAGACCCCGCTCCCAGAACGGGAGACCAGCCAGTTCAACCTGCAGTGGGAGAACAATGTCAAGAAGTTCATGGACATCACCGACTTCAAGGAGCGCTTCCAGCTGCCCCCAGACCTTGACAGCACCATCTACTTCACGGTGGAGAAGCCGGACGAGAACTTCTCCTGCGCCTCCAGCCTCAGCGCGCTGCCCCTCCACGAGCACTACGTGCAGAAGGACGTGGAGCTCAAGCTCTTGCCCCCTTTCCCTGAGCGCGGAGGTGGACTTCACTTCGCTGGCCACGAAAAGCGGGAGGATCCTGGGCGGGAGGAGCGGGTGGAAGGACCCCGTGGGGGCCGGCCCCGGCTGGAGACCCACTCCGAGGATGACCTGGAGATCCTGAAGGAATGTATCAGTTCGGCCATGCCCTCTCGCTTCCGGAAGGTCAAGACAGCCCTGGTGCCGGGCTTGTCTGCGGGTAAGAAGGGACTACACGTGCCCGTCTACATGCTGGTGCCTGCGCGTGCCCACGCCAGCATGGCAGCCAGGACCCCTCGGCCTTCCCGCAGCCTGTATAAAGAGGAGGATTCCTTCACGGACTCCGCCGAAGGCACACCAGTCAACTTCTCCAGCGCCACGTCACTCAGTGATGAGACCCTTCAGTATCCATCCAAGGACAGCCAGGGGCAGCGGGCTGAGAGGAGGGAGCCCGTCTCTCGGCGGGTCACCTCCAGCCATTCTACTCCAACCAAGATGGCGGCCGCCTACAAGCACAGAGCAGGAGGGGCCTGCCTGCCACTATCAAGCAGGGGCAATGAGCCGACCCGAGGCTCTCTCAAGAACCTGCCCAACCTAGAACCGACCATTAGCCGGCCCAGGAGTGCCCACTCCGAAAGGGACGGCCGTTCCAGGGGAGACAGTGCACATCCACACGGGGGTCACGGGGATGTTGCCTTTCAGTCTTTATGTCACACTACGCCCACTGAAGAGGCAGTTTACTGCTTCTACGAGAATGATTCCGACGATGCTCCTGAGGGCCCAGCCCGGAAGGCACCAGCAGGAGCCCGGGCCCCAAAGAAGGAGCATCGGGCTGGCAAGAAAGAAACAGAGCCCCAGCCCAAAGCGGGGCCACCATCCTCCGTGCGGCCCCAAGCGCCTGCCAAATCCCAACACAAACTGATTGCCGATGAGACCCCACCCTGCTACTCCTTAAGCTCTTCCGTGAGCTCGCTCAGTGACCTGGACCTTTCAGATAGGGATGGCGGGCAGCCACACGGCAAAGGGGGCCTGCCCCACCTTCAGACCCACAAGCCTGTACATGCCAAGTCCCTGCCATCAGCTCCTGGTCGGGACAGTTCCCCCAGCTCCCCGAGCCTCAACTCCGATGAAGATCTGCTACAGAGGTGTATTGGCTCGGCCATGCCAAAGAGACAGCGCCACACAGCCCGGCACCGTAAGGCCGAGCGAAAGCCCAAGCAAGCGGTCCCCAAGGCCGCGGGCAGCAAGGAGCGAAAGGCTGAGTTACAGAGGGAGCTAGGTGAGGAGGTAGGCTCAGACCGAGCCTCGGACCTGGACAGCGTGGAGTGGCAAGCTATTCAAGATGGTGCCAACTCCATTGTGACGTGGTTGCACCAGGCAGCGGCAGCAGCAACATCCTTCTCCAGGGAACCCTCGTCTGAGTCTGACTCTATCCTCTCCTTTGTGTCTGGTCTGTCAGTGGGGTCCACCTTGCAGCTTACCCTTGGAAGGGAAGAGCAGAAGCGAAGGGGGAAGGAGACTGGAGGAGAGGTGGAAAAGAAGGAACAAAATAAGACTGCTGAGGAGTGCAAGAAAGGAGGGGAGGCCCGGACCCTCAACCGCCGGATGTCCCGGGGCCCGGAAAAGCCAGCCAGTGCCCAGAAACCCGTGTCCAATCTTCCAGCAGTGTTCCGGGGTCGAACAGTCATCTACATGCCCACCCTGGCCAAGGGTACCCCCAAGCCTCGATCCCCTCCAAAGAAAAACGTGCCCAAGACTGAGCCCCCTGCCAAACCCCTCACTCTCAGTCAGCAGAGGTCCCGGAGCCTCCACCGGCCAGGGAAAATCTCAGAGATGGCCGAGTTGACACTACCCAAGAGGAGTGCCACACCCCCTGCCCGGGCGGCTAAGACCCCCTCCTCTGGCTCTTCCCAAATCTCCACCCCTCCCAGCCACCATCCAAGAAGTCCCCGCCCTCTTCCCAGATAAGTAAGCCAGTGCCAGCAACTGGGAGTAAAGCAGGCACCAACAGCCCTCAGGCCAGAGCTCCAGTGAAGGCTCTAATCTCCAGACAGCACAAAACCCAGAAATCTCCTGTGCGGATTCCATTCATGCAGAAGCCAGTGAGGAAGACGTTCCCAGTGAGGAACCGCCAGCCCATCCCGGAGGAGCAGGGTGCTGGAGGAAAGGCAGGTGGGAGGCTCAATCTGGTCCGGGTGGCCTCAGCCCGATCCAGTGGCAGTGAGTCAGACCGCTCTGGCTTCCTGCGACAACTGACCTTCATCAAGGAGTCTTCTAACCTCCTCCTGCGACACCGCTCTGAGGCCACAGTTCCCCTTCCCCAGAACAACTCACCACGCCGAAGTCGTCCCGGCGTCCCTGCCGTCTTCCTCTGTTCTTCTCGTTGTGAAGAGCTCAAAGCGGCCAAAGCCGGGCCCCAGCCTAGGCCCAGAGCCTCACCAGGGGAGCGCCTACCCCGCCGGACCAGCTCAGAGAGTCCTTCCCGCTTACCTGTCAAGATCGCTGCACCCCCACCTGAACCATTCAAGCGCTATTCCTCATCCCCCCACATCAACGTTGTCAAGAGGCCTGGCAGTCCAGCCCCGACCCTTCCTCAAGGGGCTGAGGCTGGGGGTGGGAGGCGGAGGAGTGATGGAGAGGCCAAGCCTCTCCCTCAGGTAGGTGCAGGGGAGGGCCACGATGCACAGTCAACAGCCACCAAGGGTACGTGGCGGAGGATTCGGGACGAAGACATACCCCGCATCCTGAAGAGCACGCTCCCCTCCACTGCCCTGCCTCTCATGGGCACGGTCCAAGAAGACAGTCCAGGTCCCCAAAGGAAGACCAGTGATGCTGTGGTCCAGACAGAAGACTTCTCAGCCTCTAAAACCAACTCCAGCACCTCACCAACCCTGGAGAACCGGGAGCCACCCAAGAACGCAGTTAGCGTCCCAGTCAGCGCCGTGCAGGTCCCCTTCATTGGCAGTGATGTGGATGGGCTGAGCTCCAAGGTGGCCACTGCCATCTCCTTCGCCCACGAGGGGCTGACGGCCCCAGCCGGAGGCTTCCCCTCCAGCCGCCACGGCTCCCCCAGCCGGGCTGCCCGAGTCACCCCCTTCAATTACATCCCCAGTCCCATGGTGGCCCCGGCCATGACCGACAAAGCCGTGGAGAAAGCTATCAGCCTCCAGGGTGAATAGAACCTCATCTGGCCTCTCTCCACCTCTCCCTGTCTCGACCCCTCCAGTCCTAGCCTGCTTAGGCCTCCCTACACTAAGACTCTGGTGGCAGCAAGCTGCACCCTTGTGGAAGATGCCTGTGTACAAAGAACTAGTTCAAGAAGCTGCTTTCTTATTTCATACTCAGCCAAGTACAAGAGAAAATTAGCTTTCAAAGATGAGTGGCTCGAACCTGGGGATGGAGACTGGTCCACTAATCAGTAAGTCTCAGAACTGGAATTGCTGGCCTCATGTCTGATGAGGCTTTCCTCCTTCCTCTATGTCTCTGGTCACAGCCCTGTTGCCAGAAAACTTTCCTTCCTGGAAGGTGGAGATAATGGATGACTTTTTTTTTTTTACCCACTGTGGGGAAGAGTCCAAATCTGGATATGGGAGGGTTCCCCTTCTCTAACATACAGCAATGTCATTTAGGGGGTCTTCCCCCACCATGAGGGGAGAGACTTTTCTTGGGAAGGAATAGATGGTAGAAGTAGGTACGGGAGCTGGTACAGAGAAGAGACTAATACTTTGGAGTGTAGGAAAAAACAATGGGAGGAAGGGAGTTGGAGAAGACACCCCAAGGGCTCCAGAGTCAGTAGGCCCAGGGAGAGAGGGGTGTCTGAGGAAAGCCCAGAAAGCTGGGGGCATGGAGCATGCTGAATGACTTTCTTCTAGGCAAGAGACTGTTCACCAGCATGCTGCCCTCTGGCACATCAGCAGCTCTGTGCCCCAAACAGAACAAGACCCCTGGCTGGGACCGCTGCCTCCCCATGCCCAAGTAAAAAGCCACCTTTTAGCCAAGCCTTAATGCAGATCTTTCTGCTGCATGCTTTATCTTGTATACCCAGCACTAATAACCAGTTATAAACATCATATAGATGAATTGCAGCTTGTCAACACCATGGGAAGCCCAGGAAGTAGACTTCCAGAAAGGGGGAAGCCCTGGGGAGGGCTGGAGAGGGAGCAGGCATAGAACCCACCAGATGGAGAAGAGCTGTAGGTGGCAGGGCCAAATGCCTGTAATTAATGCCACCCAGTAATTCAGTAATGACTAATTTGCTGAGTTTTGTCTGTGTTATATAAACCAGCTTGGGGATGGAGCTGAGGAGGATCTGAGACAATGAGAGAACTGCACCTTATTTAATAGGGAGGTGAGAGGGTTACCCCAGAAGCCCACAGCTAACCGATACCACTCCCTTGATGTCCCTAGGTAGGCCTAGGTAGGGGGTGAAAGGATAGGAAAGAAGACAGATGTGTATTAGTTCTGTTACTCTGGCTTTGATCTCTTCCCCTGGGCAGCTGCTTTTAGAACAAAAAACTACAGGTGGCTCTTTCCTTTCCCTTAGCTAGCATGCACCGGCTCACCTCCAGAGTCCTGAGGTGACTGACACAGGGAGGACTGCAGTGTCCCTGGAAGGAAGTCCAGACTTTAAGAAACAGCCAGAGTAAAACTGACTGTGCTTTTAGCAGGTGGAATGGCACTCTGACCCATGAGCTGCTGGAACAGAATTTGAAGGCGCTTCTTGAGGAGTGGGGAGAGGCTTACACTGAGCCTTCCATAATCTCTTGCCTCGTCCCCAGCCTGGCCTGTTGCTGAGATGGCCAGCTGGGTGGAGGAAGATCCATCTGTGGCTAGAAAACTAGCAGGATGGTCAAGCCTCCTCCTTAGCACTCGCCACATGCTAACTGGTGAACTGACCAGCCACTGGGCTCTCTCAGAAACTGAGCCACGGGAGGGACCAAAGAATACAGATTATGGAGAGAGGCCCAGACAGGGATGGGAAAGCGAGGGTCTGCTGAGCTGCTTCAAGAGCAAGCTCTTTCTGTTGTAAACCGCACTTTAAAAGGATTGTAAAGAGCAGAGCCAATTGCTCATATGTGATAGTTTTGGGGACGTGGGGGTACGGAACCATCTGTTTGGTTGTTTTGGGTTTTTTTTTAATGACTTTTTGTGAAAAATACAAAATTGCAGGAGTCTCCCAGCAGGTTACTTTAGGGAAGGACGTAACACCCCTTGAGATGGCCCAGTGTTTTCTCCAGGAAGTAAAATTTGAGTTTCACAGATGGGGGAGACAAACTGCCTCTTGGAATTTGGCCAAGCCAAGCCTCTGGGAAGAATGTCCTGATGAGGCCAGAGAACTGATTGGTTTCTATTGGGCCCCAGAGGGCAGAGATCTAAGAGACATGTGGAAGGTACAAACAGGTCGATTTTGAGCTTGTATAAGGAAGCATTTCCTAACATTTAGAACTGTCCAGAAGTGAAGTGACCTACCTCAGAAAGTGGTGGGGTTTCCCATCACTGGAATTCTTCAAGAAGAGGTTGAATGACCACCTATCAAGGAAGCAATAGAGGAGATTCCTTTTTAAGCTATGGGTTAGACTATATCAAGTCTGAAGTCCTTTGTAGCTGAAATTCTATGAACGGATGTGAAGGGTCAAACAATTAGCCGAACTACTGAGGAAGTAATCTCCCCGTGTGGCTAGCGCCGGTCTGCTACTGCGCTGAAGGTCCAGGGTAGAGAGGGAAGAAATCAGGATCAGAGGTATCAACCTATACTGTGCTATATGATGGATGTGAGGAGGGTCAGGTGCAGGAGAGGGGAGAAGGCAGAGAATGAAAGTGACAGAAGACGTTTGGCTGGTTTTGCTAACTGAACTGTGGCTCTGTATGGTGGTGACTCACCCACCGGGAACTGGACTGAGGTCACAACTTACTTCCTACAGATGCCATGGAACAGCTAACAATCACTGAACTCTGGCCCACATTAACTAGGAGATGACTGAATTCTTCTCGAGCCAGACAGTACATTCGTCCCCCTCTCTGTCTCCCTCATCCTTGGCTTTGAAAAAGCTTGATCTGTCTACTCATTGTGTATTCCAGAGGTAGGGATCCTTGAAGAAACACCTTCAAATATTTCAGTCTAGAGCCCTGTTGGAAGGACAGTGCTTCCTTAACCACTCAAGTTTAGTCTAGGAAGTAGAGTGTTTCCAGTCAAAGTATTTCCATTGGAAAGAGCCAGTAACCTCTTTCCCAGTGGAACCCTGGGTTCCAGAAACAGCTGCTCTTTGCAAAACTGTTTTAGCTGTTTTTGCAAAGAACTACTCCTCACGGAGCACAATGTAGACTCAATCTATGTGAGACCTAGGGCAAGTCCTTTCCTGCCTCCTAGTTTCAGTTATCTCTGTAAAACGAGGGGGTTGGACTAGATGATTTCTAGGGTTCCTTTTAGCTTGGATGTTTTTTGATTCTGGGGAGAAAAGAATACACTGAGCAAGTAGGTTGATAACCATTAGGCAAGTAGTAGGGCATATGGAGTCAATTGATTCTATTAACCCTGGTCCTCTGGGGGAAGGGAAACAGTCTCCCACTGAACTTGATCGGTAACAGGTCCTTATTTGCCGAGTCTACAAAAGGAAAATCTAAATTGAAAAGCCTGGAAAACTCCTCTTTCTTGCTGACACCTCTTCAGTCATCCTGTGGCAGGCCACTCAGCCGAATTCATTCTTGGCCACCATTTCAAGGGACCGTAGGACAAAATCAAACGCTGGGAGCCTTGGGACTGCACTTTAAAAGCCACCTCCCAGCCTGGAGCTGATCGTATTTGGGAGTTGCGTCTCCCACATCTCCTACGGAGAGTTGAGTCAATATTCTCTTCTGCCAGGAAGGCTCTTATTGAGGGAGGAGCCGACTCTAAAAGGCTGTAATAGACTCAGAGCTGACCCAGTTCACATGGATTTGTGGGGTAGCTCCCAGTTGCCAGTGTTACAAGGAGGTTTGACATATGTTATGTGCAACACATGTGGGATTGGAACCAAAACACAAGGAGTGATTTCATCCTCATTTTCCTTTCTCACAACACTGAATGCTTCAGCCTTGTAGGAATAAGAGGCGGGGATACTTCTGCAGGGACCCTCCAAGCCTGGCCCCTGAAATTAGGGGCTGTTCTCCAAAGATGCTTCCAGTTCTGTGTCTCCCTTCAACAGAAAGAATATGGTGAAGTGACAGGCTTGTTCCCCATTCAGCAAGGACAAGACAGCTGGGTTATCTAGAACCTGTCCTACGCAATCTGTAGCCAGAGATTAAAGCAAATATGGTGGAGAGAGAAGATGCCTAGTTTTAGTGAATGTTGGAGCTGGCCATCAGACACTTGCCTGTTATTGGATGTAACATTCAAATATAAGATGTGTTTGAGAGTGAAAAATACGTCCTGGAAAGTTTGCAGACTGAAAAAGGTGGAGAGATGCTGTTAGACTGCTCTCATTCTAACAGGCAAACTCTGGATGGGAAAGAGATGGTGTATCAGGTGCTCACAGCGGGCAGTTAACCCAACCCACAACCTTCTGTCCTTCTAGGAAAGACATTATGAGATTCTGGAGGAGGGGACTCAGCCCAGAGGTCAGAGCTGTGCCTGACCCCCCCTCCACCAATTTGCGAGGTGATCTGGGCAGGTTGCTTCACCGCTCTGTGCCTGCTTCCCCCACCTGTGAAATGGGGAGAACCTCTGCCAGATCTACCTCCCAAGGGAGTGAGGATCGGCTGGTCGGCTGGACACATGATGGAATGTTGGGAGATCTACACAGGATGGTGTTATTCCATAGCGTAACTGGTGCTACACTGCAGGGCATGCATTTGGTTCTAACTCTTTTGAGCAAAGGCTTAGGAACCTTCTGCTTCCTGTCACTTGTGCTAACTTGTCCTAGGAGCTGCACCGAAGCCAGTCAGGACACAGTCCCTCCCTTCCCAGCCTCTGGGGCTTGGTGACCAACCTGAAAGTCCAGGCACTCATGGAAACTATCAGGGGGTGAATCCGGACAATTCAACTTGTTTTTGGAGGGAGTGTGCTGATATGAAAGAGCAGGCACTGCTCCCTCACTGGGGTCAGAGGGAACAGTTTCCTAGTCTCTGTGTTTGATTAGCACCTTATGTGACCTACAGAGGCAGGGGCCAAAAATGGGGCTGAAGCTTTGAGAATATCCGCACAGCCAGGCCTCCCCAAGTTAGCTGCCTGCCCTGCCCAGCCCCAGGACTTTGCCAACCACAGTGACAGGGTCGGTCGCCTCCCCTCCTTCGCCCTCATCCTTCACACCGCATCAGCTTTGTTCACACCATCCTCCAGCCAGTGGGGGGAAGGGGAGGGCAGGAGGATGTCACAGACACACTATGGTTTCCTGGGGTAGAGAAGAGGGCAGTTTGTGGTAGTTGAACAATTGATATCCATATACCTGTCAACTAGGGCCAGAGGAACCAACTGTCATATGCCAAACACAGCTATCACTTAAAGCCTTTATCCCACTGTAGGGATGCTATCTGTACCACTCAGCTGTTAACCTGGTTCGCTCCTTTATGCTCTCAGTGTGAGAGTGGATATGTGTGTGTTCCTGCTTAAGCGCTGCCGTCACCAAGGGATTTGAACTGGGGACTCAGAGGGGCAGGAATCGTGCATCGTCAGAAGCGATCGATTCCGCTGGGCCAGTCTTCACCAAAGTTCAACACTTCTACCATCGTCCCCTCCCCGTGCAATCTGCTGTTGGTGGCGTGACCATCCCAAAGGGGAAGGACTTAACCTTCGGGAGGAATGACCCTTGGGGTGGCCACGATGGGGGCCCAACATCAGCCTGCTTTTCACCAGCTGCTCAGGAGCTGCTGTGCTACGCCTGACAGTGCTGCCTGATCAGCAAAGTTTAAAGAAAAACAGCCCCGCTCCGATCTATTCCCAGCAGGGTACTAGATTTAGGGCAACACACACACATCTTCCTGAAGCAACAGGAGCAGACGCCGTTACCTCATACCTCTAATCTGTCACCACGTCCATTCAGTGTGTACGTACCACCCCAGTTCTTCGCCACAGACCCTAGTTCTGTTCTCATCCAGTTTGTGTGATAATCCTTTTCAGCCCCCAGATGAAAGCTGCCTTTGCCCATCTCATTCAACTGGTTTCCAGCCCATCCTCTCCAGTCTACTCACTTCCTGCTCCCCCTCACCTCCCTAGCATCTGCACTGAGGGTCATTTTACTGGGACTCTGGACAGTATTAAAATGAAGCGTGTAAATATTAAGTGTCCCCCCCCCCTTTTTTTCCACTAAGATAAAACAGAGTCATTCGTCTGGCTCAAAGGTGAGACAGGAAGATCAGGCAATTGACTTGTAGGGCACCGTTAGCATCTTCACTTAATAAACTAAGCTGTTGAATTGCCTTCTGGGACTGGACCATGTTTCATTTCTTTTCTTTCCATTTGGGAGGGTGAATCTCAACTCCTGGAAAAACTGGTGGACTCTTATAATAAAGGGTGAGATCATTGAACACTTGCAAACGTAACTCTGGAAATGGGACTTACTTATTCCACTAGAGGGAAGGGATCAATTAAGTGGACAAAGGGGGAACCAGATTATGTCATTTAGATAGCAGGTACAGCAGAAAAGACTACAGGATTTGAAATTAGGAGAAGTTCGATTGGCTTCCAGCTCTGACACCTTCCAGTCGTACAGCCTTGGACAAGCCCCTCGAGGTCTATGCACCCCACTTTGGAGGGCGCTACCTCTGTCTTCATGTAGTCCCTCACTCAGAAAAGGTTCCAACAAATTCACAGATCCACAATGGTTATTAAAGGGGGTGGAATTTAACAAGTCTTTGTCTATTACATATGACATACAAGGCACTATATTCCATAAATTTCTGAGGTTAGTGCTATGGAGCCAACCATTCCCTTTCATATCCCAGACCATGGAAGCCCTCAGTGCCAGACTGAACCTGGCCCTACAGCCCCTCTGAGGATAAAAAAGCTGGTGGTCACAGGGCTTAAAACTGGAAGAGACTCCAAAAACCAGCTGGGGAAAGCGGCTAGTGCTAGAAAGCAGGAATTTTGATACCTTTAGAAAAAGTCAAGAATATACGTTGTACAAAGCCTAGCTGCTGTGGAAAACCTCTTACACTAGAAATAAAAGATTTTACAGCTGGAAGGGTAACCTTAAGAAGGAAATAAGTATTCATTAAGTGTCTACTACTCGTCAGGCACTGAAGTAAGCACTTGAGAAATATCTCATTTGCTCTTCCTCAACAAGCCTGGGAGGGAGATGCTTGCCTCCAATCCAAACTCCATTCAGCCTGGGTCTGATCATGTCACACAACTCCTCCTCCTCCCTAGCCCTAGCCCCCACCTCAATAAACTCCAGTAATTTCCTATTGCCTCCAGGATCAAATACAAAATGCACCGTTTGGCGTTCAAAGCCCTTCATAATAATCTAGCCCCCTCCCATCTTTCCAGTGTTTTGTTTTACTCCCAGACTGGTACTCTCCAATCCAGTGACCCTGGCTTCCTGGTTCCACAAACAACACACTCCATCTCTTGGCTCTGGGCACTTTCTCTGGTTATCCCCCATGTTTGGAACCCCTTCCTCCTCTGCTGTAACTACTGACCTCCCTGATTTCCTTTTAAATCCCAACTAAAAACCCCAACTTACATAGGAAGCCTTTCCTGACCTCTCTCAATTATAGTGCCTTCCCTCTGTTAATTACTATCTCTCTGAGTATAGTTTGCTTTTTATATATTTGTTTGCATACTGTCTCTCTCACTGGATTTGTGGGCTCTTTGAGGGCAGGGCCTGTCTTTTGCCTCTTTTTATATCCTCAGAACTTAGCACAGTCCTTGGCCAATAATGGGTATTTAATAAATGTTTATTGATTTGTTATTATTCCCATTTTACAACTGAGGAAACTGAAGCAAACAGAGGTTCATTGCATTGCCCAGGATCACACAGTGTCTGAGGGCATATCTGAATTCTAGTCTTCCTGACTCTAGGCCCAGCGCTCTATCCACTCTGCCACCTAACTTAGCCCTCTTCCCCCATTTTATCAAGGGAATTGTGGCCCATAGAGGTTAAGTGATTAGTTAAGAATTTGAACACAGGTCTTCTGAGGTAGCTAGTTGGAGCAGTGGACAGGCTCTGGGCCAAGAGTCAGGAAGACCTGAGTTTAAATCCAGCCTTTGACACTTACTAGCTGTGTGACCCTGGACAAGTCAATTAACCTCTACTTGCCTCAAATTTCCTCAACTGTAAAGCGGACATTGCAATAGCACCTATGTCTCAAGGTCATTGTGAAGATCAGATGAGACGATCTTTATAAAGTCCCTGACATGCAGGAGGTGCTTAATAAATGCTTGTTCCCTTTCCACTCTAACCTCTCCACTATACTTTACCACCTCATGCATTCCCCATCATAGTCTCTACTTTTTTCAAACCGGGGAACTTGCTGTCTCCCTGTACCTCTGGGAGGAGCTCCCCTTACTTCTTGTCATACTCTCCCAGAAAGCCTTCCCTGAGCCCCCAGGTCCTTCCCTTGGGCTGGAAATAATCTTGCCCCATCTCATCTTGGCCCTTCACACTCCTCTTACACACTTAGGAAGGCAACACAGCACGACGGAAAGAGCGCTGAACTAGGAATCCAAAGAGCTGGAATCAAGTCCTGGCTTAGCCACTCACTACCTGTGCGATCACAAACAGGTTACACACTCTCTAGAAGCCTCAGTTTTCTCATCTGTAAAATGAAAATAACAGACCATTTTCCTCACAGGACTGAGAAATCACTTTGTATACCGTAACTCACTCTACAGCTTTAAGTTATTACATCAGTTATATCTGAGCTTATCAATACCCCTACAAAACTAGTTTCATTTATCCTGCATTCCCTCCATTCCCATCAGAGGAAACAACACGCTTAACCGAATGTTTGTTGAATGACTACTGAATTCAAAATATAGCTTTGCACTAGAGTGGAGGTATGGTACCACCCCTCCTGGTCCAACAAGATTCAGAGTACTTCTTTTCACTTTCATTGCTGGCTCCTTAGGGACCATGATTTCAGGCAAAGCATTCATTTGAACTGAATTAATTCTGTTTCAAAGAAACAACTGAGAAGTCCCAGTTACAAAGAGAAGGGTTTCTATTCACCTGCAGCTCAGAGAGTTCCAAATGACAAGCATCAAAATGGCCCTGGGGCTCTGGATCACCCCTTCACAAGCCATTTTATTACCATTTATTTTAAAGAAGATGAAAAGGAATTTTCAGGTGTACCCTACAAAAAAAGGGCAAGATGAAGGATAGATGGTGAGTTTTTAACTATTCACTGGCCCTGAGGTTATAGCTGAGAGAAATCTCTGATGTTTTAGCTGTTAAAGCTGATCCCAAATTCCAGCTGCTGCCTTCCAGGAGGGGAAGCAGACAGTGAACTCCAGGCTACGTTCCAGATTTTCAAAGAGGGTAAAAAGCATTCACCGGCCCTGAAATCAGAAACCCAATGTTAAAGTCCAGCTCTGACACTTGCTGGCTCTGTTACCACAGGCAACTCACTTAATCTTACTTGGCCTCGTTTTCCTCCTCTATAAAATAGGGACAGAAATACCTAACTGCTTACCTCAGAGCTGCTTTGAGGAAAGCACTTTTTGGTAGAGTACATTGTACGTAGTAGGCATTTTGAAAAGTCTGTTGAATCAGTGTTTTGTTGAATAGGTGCTGTCAGAATCAATCCTAGTTCTCATCTGTAAAAGGCAGGGAGTTAGAAGAAGCGACTTCTAAAACATCTCCCTGTTCTAGATCCATCATCCTCTAAACTGAATGTCTAAGCATTAAGTGCAAATTAATTGGGGGAGTTGTTGAAAACAAGAGACTGAGCCAACTCTCTGTACAAGCTACACCCCCTCCATGACAGGGAAAAATCAGTATGAAAATCTTCCTCAATCTCCTCCTGGCCTTCGGGGGTGGGGCCTGAGGAAAAGAGGAGGCCAGGCCAGTGTCTGGACAATTTCACTTTAATGGAGGCAATGAAATCAACAAAACCACCAGAGGCAGCATGCAGAGAAATGACTAGTCAAAGTTCTAAAAAGTAAAAGGCATGGATTTAATAGGACTTTGAGGCCCATGTATAGAGAAACAGGAGAGAGTGGGAAGAGGCTGTGCTGGCAGCACCAGATGACACTTTGGGGATAACTAAGTGAATGTGTTCTTCTCTGGTGATCTGGCAGCGTCTCTTAGAAGAATCATCCTTGGAGATAATGTCTTCATTGCACCACCTTCATCATGTTCCAAGTGGACTTGGTCCTCAGTTACAGTCTGGTTCAGATTCTGTTCTAGATACCCTTAGGCACTCAAATTTGTCCAGGTCAATCCTGACCTCCCCAGGTGACCCCAATGGTTGTGTGCAACAACTGGCTTCAGTTCCCGATAGGACATGTGAAGCTCTGTGGGGCCTTCTTGTCCTCCTTAAAGGGCCAGAGGTAGATGTCATACTGCAATATTCCTCCACCCTTCCCCCAATGGAGATGGGGCCTCAAGTCTGAAGGGGCAGGTAGGCTGAAAGAGAGAAAAGGGTGGAGGAAAATCCAGGGGGCCAGAACTGGCAGGCAAGCCTTAGAAAAGCAGCTTCTAGAAAAGCCTGTGTCTCTGCAGACACAGAGGTCCCGAATTTCACTTCCAAAAACACATCAAAAAGCACGAACGACATCAACCTGAGGAGGCCACGCCAGGAAGATAGCTGGAACCCTGTGCATCAGAGAGGGTCCTCTGCTTCATCTCTAAGATGTCTTGCTCAAGGCTGTCCCCAGACTGCCGCAACTCCTCACACTTCTGTTTCAGCAGGCCACAGGCCAGCTGGAGCCGATGGTTCAGGGCCACATAGGAGCGACTCTGTTGGTACTGCCGTTCCCTTTCTGCCTCTGGGTCCTCATTCTCCTGAATGGCAGGAAGCTCTGAGAAGGAAAAGGGAAGGAGGGAGAAAAAAAGAACACAAGTCCAGTTGCCTCTCAACTACCAGTATAGTGGAAATGGGAAGAGTATAATACCAATCTGTGAATAAAAACTATTCCTACATCTTTAGCTCTGGAATGTGTCATCTGGAAGGGCCCTTATAATTATGGAATAAAGCTGGGAGGAACCTTAGAATCCAGAATGCCAGAGCCAGTGGGGGGGAGGGTAGGTGGGACTTAGAACCCACAATGTCAGAGCTGGGAGGTTCCTTAGAACCCAAAATGTGAAAGCTGGGACGGTCTTTAGAACAGAGAACACAGAATGGTATGGCAGAAAGGACCTAAGGATACTGAATGACACAGCTGGAGACTTTGGAGATCAGTTTGATATGAGGAATAAGATATATACAACTATAGTAGTAGGTACAATGTGATAAGGACCATAAGGCAATATGATACAATCAACCGAACAATAAAATAATGGGAGTCTGGGCTGGATTCAAGGTCCAGTTCTACCCCTTAAAAGCTGCCTGACTCTGTGCAAATCACTTCCCCTCTCTGAATCTGTTTCCTCCTCTGTAAAATGAAGATAATTTCTGCACTCCCTACATCACTGGGGGGCTATGAGGAAAGTGCTCTAGAAATGGGAACTGATTATTATCTTCAAGACCACAGATTTCACCTCCTCCTAAGTATTTAACTAAAGCGGATATTCAAATGAGTCTAGGTTTTTTTTCTCAGAAGCCAAAATGACAGAAGTGAGTAAGCAGGATGCTAGACAGCAGGAGGAAACTAGCATGGGATTAATTAAAAAAAAACACACACACACACACACACATACATATGTAAATATAAACATATATATGTAAATATAAACATGTATGCACACATGCAAAGAAACGGACAAATCACAAAGTGGATAACTGGACAGTAAAAGTTGGCCAAACTACCAAGCTGATACTACTCAACTGGAATGTTCACACACTCCCAGGATCAAGCTGGGCTGCACATAACAGGGTTGCAGGAGTGATGGGGACTTACATTACCTTCTGTGGCTTGTGGGGCAAAGGAGGTGAAAACTGGATCAGAGGGCAGAGCACCATGGACATCCTCCAGGATCTGTTCAACTGTGGGCGGAGATGGTCTTGTGGGGAGGACCACTCGCTTTCTGGCCTTAGAGGTCATTAGGAAGAAGGCTAAGGGAGAAATAGAGGTGAGAAATTAGGGGAAAACTGCACAAGGAGTAAGAAAATAGATAGGGAAAGAGAACAGGGTGGGAGGGAAGGCCAAGTGGAAAAGCAGAGAGAATCACAGGAGAATTGAATCTATTAAGAGATCCATGATCTAGAACCTCAGGCGGGCCACCACATTTGGTGCCAGGCTGCATGGTAGTCATTTTCCCCATCTTGGACTTCCTATGAGGCAACATTAGATAGTAGAAAAAGCCCTGGGCTTGAAATCAGAAGACCTGAGAGATTTCACCTCCTCAAATGGATTTCATTGAGGGTAATATTCAAATGAATTTACAATCTTTGAACAGTGTTCAAACCCTAGTTTAATGATACTCTTTTTTGCCCTCTACATATGTCCTTGATTTTATCCCTGTCTCCTCAAATCTACCCTAGTCTAAAAAGAGAAGTCTCCCTCCCCCATTCTGCTACTTCCTCCAGCTATCTTTCCATGTCTCTCCGCCTCCCTACCTCCTGTCTGCACAGGTTTTGAAGCATCTTTCTTCTAAAGCCCCACTCTTCTCTGCACCTTCAGTAACTCTCAATTCCAACGGGGTAAAGACTGGCTGACATTCAGGGTTTCCATAATGTAAGCCCAAGCTACCCATCCCATGTCACCTTCCACTGTTCCTCCTAACACACCTACCAAACATGACCGCTCCAATCCAGCCAGAATCAAGCATTTATTAAGCACCTACTATGTGCTCCGCCCTATACACTCATTTACACTATTTCTGACCAGATGGCACTTTCCTATCTCTGCACCTTTGCTCATTTTGTCCCAGGTCTACAAGGCCCTCTCACACCCCTCTATCACCTTTCTTACTTAAAAAATATTCTTTTTTACATCGGTGAACTTAACACCAAACAAAAAGGGCTGCAAATCTCCATTATATGCAGCTTGCTTTTCCTTTGAAATACATAATAAATGCCACATGTCACTTTTAAAGCCAATATACCTGCGTTGATCCATCTGGGGTCTTTCCTGGCTCTAAGTCAGTTTTTCCCAATCACACCAGGCAGTGCCTCCAATTCCCTCATTTCACAGATAAGGAAACCTGCCCAACTCATCTGTGTTTCTCCAAAAGGATAGCCTCACAAAGGGTCCTGCCCATGAGATAAGGTAGGTAGGTAAGAAAAAGAGTGACAGGTGGGAAGATGGAAAAAATTGGGGGAGGAGGAAAGAGGGAAGTGGGGAAAGGGTCAAGTAAAAGAAAATATGAAAGTGGGAAAATCAGGGAAGTCAGAACGTTGCTCCCTCTCCCAAGAGAATTGAGATCAAGGAGTACTCTTTCATCTTATTTTTGTAAAGTCAATGCCTTGAACATAGTAGGAGTTTATGTTAAATGCTTCTGGGATTAGATTGGAAGTGTTCCTGCCTCTGTCCACCCCCTCTCCCCAAACCATCCAATACACTGCTACCTAAACAGTATTACTTATGCACAGAGAGAGCTGTCATTACTCCACTGAAAAATCTTCAGTGGTTCCCTGTTATTTGGCTGACCTTGTAAAGTTTAAATTACTCTGCCTCAAATTCAAAGCCCAAAACAATCTGGCACCACTATACCTTTCAAGTTTTATCCCATCAAGGGCTAGTTCATGGATTTTCTTACATACTCAGCACTTAATACAATGTCAGTCAGTCAACTAGTATTTAGTAAGCAACAGCTACTATGTACCAGGCAGTATGCTATGTGCTGAGGATACAAAAACAGGTTCAAAAAGAGTACCTGTTTAATGAACTCACAAGCTAATTAAGGGGAGACAATATGAACACAACTATATACAAACAACAGATATACGAAGGATAAATTAGGAGGTAGACTCAGAAGAAAGGCAAAAGTCTAAGATTAAGGACTCAGATTTAAACTGGGACTTAAAGGAAGCTGGAAGGCAGAAATGAAGAAGAACATTCCAAGCAGGGGGACAGCAGGAGAAAATGCTTGGAGTCAGGGAAATGGAGCATCTTATGCGAGAGAGAGCAAGGAGGCCAGTGTCACTGTAGTGCATGCAGGGGAGTAAGGTATAAGAAGACTGGAAAGATGGGAAGGGGAGCAGCTAGGTGGCGCAGTGGACAGAGCACTGGCCCTAAAGTCAGTAGGACCTGACTTCAAATATGGCCTCAGATCAAACGCATTTGACATTTACTAGCTGTGTGACCCTAGGCAAGTCACTTAACCCCAATTGCCTTAAAAAAAAAGAAAGAAAGAAAGAAAGAAAGAAAGATGGGAAGGAGCCAGTTCATGAAAGGCTTTAAAAGCCAAGTAGATTTTTTATTTGACCCTGGAGGGAACAGGAAGCATTTGGTATTTTATTGAATAGGGAAGTGATATGGTCAGATTTGCACTTTAGAAAAATCACTTTGAAAGCTGAGTGGAGGATAGATTGGAATATGGAAACTTGACACAAGGAGATCAATCAGAAAGCTACTGCAATACCGCAGGCCTCAGGTGATGAGGGCCTGCATCAGGGTGGTAGGACTGTCAGAAAAGAGATAGGGGCATATACAAGAGATGTCACCCAGGGAGAAATAAGATTTGACAACTGACTGGATATAGGTGGTTAAGTGCCTTGTACTTCACATTTGTTGACTGAATCCTGGCCTCTTTTGCTGAATTCTCTAGAATGCTTCTATCATCCTTTAAAACAATTCAAAGGCCCCCAACTAGGATCAAAGATTTAGAGCTTGAAAGGACCTTAGAGGTCATCTAGTTCAACTCTTTCATTTTAAAGATGTGGAAACTGAGGCCCATAAAGCTTCCATGACTTGTCTAAGGTCCCACAAGTTGTAAAGCCAAGACTGGAACCTAAATCCTTTAATTCTGAATTCAGCCCTTGTCTGCAGCAACCACCTTTTCTCTCAGACTTCACATAACCCTTGGTTGACAACTTTTTTCAGCACATTTATATTTTATTAAGCTGTATTACAGCCATCAATCAACAAGCATTTCTCAAGTGCCTACCACGCGCTAGGCTTTGGGGACCACCCTGATGTAGGCCTTGCCTCAGGTCTTTCCATATTCCAATTCATCCTTCACTAAGCTGTCAAAGTGATCTTCCTAAAGTACAAGAGTTTTACAATCAGAGTCCCCCTGCTAGACTGTGAAGTCTCTGAAGGCAGGGGCTGTATCTCATATAATCGTTCTTCAGTCCTTTCAGTCTTATCTGCCTCCTCCTGACCGGATCTGAGGTTTTCTTGGCAGAGATACCAGAGTGGTTTGCCATTTCCTTCCCCAGCTCATTTGACGCATGAGGAAACTGAGGCAAACTGGGTGAGGTGACTTACCCAGTGTCACACAGCCATAGGTGTTTGAAGCCACATTTGAACTCAGATCTTCCTGACTCCAGGCCTGACACTCTAGCCATACGCAGCTTAGGGACCCCTAACATATAAAAACTTCTCCCCTAAATCTCTGCATACAGTAGGGTAATGACTGCATTTGCAGAGATTAGGGTGGCCTCAGGACAGCTCTCCCGGTGGGGAAAGAAAGGGAGGGACAGAAGGAGAAAGAGGGGGAAGGAGCAGCAGGAGGAAGAACGGAGGAAGGTGAGGGAAGGGGTGGAGGAGGAGCAGGGGAGGAGGGTGGAGGAAGAGCAGGGGGAGGGCGGAAAGGATGGCGGTCCTCCCCTTCCCCCTCCAGCCGCACTTCACTAAGATTATGGGGATGTCGCTAAATGCAGCTCATCCCCCTCCCCATCCCAGACCAGCATCTGGTCCACGGGCTTGTGGGAGGCCTAAGGAAGCCACTTCCCTCCCCTCATTCTAACACTATGAAGGGGAGGTCGAACACAGGACTCAACGAGCGCCTCACCTGAAGCTCACGCTCCAGCGTCAGGGCAACCGCCACGCTGGCCACTTCCGCTTCCGCCGCCGCGCATGCGTCGGGAGTCGCAGGGCGAGCGCGCGGCCGCCCGTTCTGGCCCCGCCTCCTCTTCCCTACTCCTCCCTTCCCGCTGGGCGCGCGGCCGCCCGTTCTGGCCCCGCCTCCTCCTCCTTGCTCCTCCCTTCCCGTTGGGCGCGCGGCCGTCCGTTCTGGCCCCGCCTCCGCCGGACGCACGCTGGGCGGTTTCCGCCTCGCCACCGCCTCTCGCCCCTTCCCCCCATCTCCGAGGCCGGAGACGTGACGCTCTGGCCCCGCCTCCTCCTCCTCCCTTCACCTTTCCTCGGGCACGCCCAGGGTTGGCGGCCGGGCGCCTTTCCGGGCCCTCCCCCTCCCTTCTTCTCCCCCTCGGGGTCTCCTCCCATCCCCCCACCTCCCTCTCCCCTTGTGCCCCAGCTGGGGGGGAAGGGGGAGAAACAGTGGATTGTGTATTGGGGAGGGGTGGGGCAGAGTGAAACGTAAGCTCCTTGAGGGCAGACGGGGCGTACCCACCAGGGAGGTTCCTAAGATTGTAGATTTAGAGCTGGCAGGGACCTCCGAAGCCACCGAGCCCAAAGCCCCCATTGTACAGGTGAGCAGACTGAGGCCTGGGAAGGTGCTACCTAATAAATACCAGCCTCCCAGCCTCAGTTTCTTCATCTGCACAATCTGCAATTGTGCAATAATAATAGCACAAGGTTTTTGTGAGGCCCGGTTGTAATAACATATTTGCAAACCTTAAAGTGAAATATAATGACTATTGAAAGAGTAGTGATCAAACCACTAACTACGGATGAACTGAAAGCTTGCAGGTCTCCATCCTGAGCTGCCCCCGAGATCCTTGAACACAGCACTTAGGAAGAAAGCTGCAGCAGGAATCCAGAGGATACAAAATAGACCCAAACACTCCTTTATAGAAGGGTGCAGAATGGCTCTGACACAAAGCCCCACATATAGAAAGTAGGAATGAGTAAACAACAACAACAAAAAAGAATCCCACCATAAAGATATTGACAGGGATACCTGAGGCAAACAGGGAAGAAGAGAATGGCTCCCAAACGCAAAGACTCAAAGAAAAACACTATTTGGACACGAGTTCAACTAGAATTCCGGGGAGAAATAAAGCAAAAGTTTAAAAAAGAAAGAGATCATTAATAAAATTCCATTACCTCACAATTAGGAAAACTGAGGTCCAGGAGGGGAGTAACTCTTCCAAGCCGAGGCAGAGCCAGGACTAGAACACAGGTGTCTTGACTCTGTTCTGAGCTCTCTCTCCCCCTGTAATGGATCACACCATCCCCTCTGTCTCCATAAAGCTTTCTCCTCTTAGATGCTTCCCCCATATACACTCCCAGCTGCTAACCCTTTAAATAATCCCAAGTGCCTGGCTGAGGATGAGGAGCGGGCTCAGCTGAGCTGAGCTAGATTGAGTTTTTAGGTGCTTTCCAGTCAAGCAGCCTGCTAACTAGGTTTCTTCTCTCTTCTGTTTTGTAACCAGCTACTATGACTGTCCCTATCCCTTCTTCCTCTCCTGTTTCTCCTTGGCTAAAACCTGGATGCTTTGGGCAAAGCTAGTTTGCAGTAGGCACTAGACTAGCTTCTTTGGGGTGCCTAGTTCCCCTTCTCCTGGGCTGTGGTACCTAGCTGATGAGGCTACTTCCTCAACACAGATTGTCCCCAGGCAATGGAGCGACAATGCTAGTCATTTAAATTATACAGTGCATTTATTATCCAGGGAGAAGTCAGGACACCTACCTTCCAGTCCTGGCTTTGCTACTGAGTGGCTGTGTTTTCCCATCTGTAAAACAGCAGGGAGAGAGTGAATTAGAGATTTCTAATATCTTTTCTGCCACTTTATTTTAAGGGTTCCTTCAGTTTTAAGAGCCTGTCAAACATTTTTGGAACCATGGGACCACCACTCTCCTATTCCCTTCAAGTCCCCTAATTATGTCCCCCAATTATCCTTCAGCTCCTCAGGCCCCACCTGACCCATGATTCTTCGTTCTGGGAAAGTGACATTCATGTCTCCCCAACCATTGGGAGACCTTGATGTCCTGGAAGAAGACAGATGGCCTTGTGTCAGTCTATGCTGGCCACTCCAGAGAACAAGGGAGGCTTCAAGGCTGCTAGAGAGAAGCCGGATGTGTGAGGCCAGTACTCAAGACGCCAGTGGTGAGGTGCATCTCCCCAGTCAGGGGCAGTGCCAGGCATTAAGTTTGGTCCAGGAGTCATCAAGCAAGAGGAAGTGGGCAAAGGCATTTGATGAAGAAGGTAAAGGAGTCAGGTTGAAGTTGGGGTAGGGAAAGGGGCCTTGACTAAAAAATCAGGCCTTCTGGGGAGGGAGGCTGGGGCTATCAAGGAGAAGGGGCACCCTAGGCTCCCCCCTTCCTTCTCCACAAAGGCCTCCTTTTCCTTTAGCCCCCCAGGTCCCTTGGAGTCAGCCTACAACCCCAAACCCCTATTTCTGTGCTCTACCCATGGAGGAGACCTTCCCCTGCCCCCTGTGAGTACTGTGCTGCTATATGCCTCAGAACCTGAGCTGGGGCAGGAAATGGAAGGAGATCCCCTATGACATAACAGATGACAGGAATGTAATTGGGGAATATCTTTTAATTTGACTTTTTATTAATGTATATGGTTTTTTTTAAAGTATTGATACATTTTGTTGTGACAAAACAGACTTTTCAACAAACCCTCTTAAAAAGGATGTTCCCTGAGAAACAGTTTGTCAGTTAACAGAAAAGAGCTGTGTTCTTTAACTGTGACAGTGGGGTGCTGACACTGACCACTGCAATCCAAAAAGGTTTTGTTTTTGTCTCTCCATGTGAACATCATTTACTGTTCTGAATTTATTGTGAGTTTAGTGTCCTTTCAGCCCTGCTATCCCATCCCATGTTTCTATTCTTAGGTTAGAGACAAGAATTGGGTCTGGGACTTCATTGGTGTAGGGAACTACCAGGTGAGGTCACTCCCTCCATCAGTGTTAGTCAGCACCTTCTCTGCAATTTATGGTCTTAGAGAATTGCCTAGAGCATGGAGAGATTAGAGTTAGAGTTAGTCATTTGCCCAGGGTCACTCAACCAGTGTCTGTCAGAGCCAAGACATGAACCCAGCTCTTCCTAGTTCCAAAGCCTGCCTTCTATCCACCACATGTCCTCTCTAGTCATTTCTTACTGCTTAGTAATAGCCCAATTAAATGCATATTCTATTTGGAGGGCTGGGCTTGGAAGGAAGAAGGCTTGGGTTCAAGTCCTTCTTGTGATATATACTAGCTCTGTGACCTTGGGTAAGTCACTTAAATACTATGTGCCTCCCTAGGATAATTCTTTAGGACTTATGAAGTCATTTACAATAATAAAGGGAATTCCCATGCTAAGCAGTGCCCATAATGCCTAAATCATAGATCGTTAGCTTATTCACATACCATAATTTATACAGATTTTCCCCAATCGTTGGACACATAATTTATTTCCATTTTTAATCATAAATAATGACATTATGAAACTGTTGATCACTGAGGTTGCAATCCCTGATAAATGACTTAATATATGATCACTAGAATTTGTATCCTAACAGGGTATTGCTTTAACCCAAATAATAGAATGCCCTAATGGTGGAATTTCAGTCAGAGTGATTGTTTATTAAAGAAGGTATTTTGGGGGTTAGAGGGTCTTCCCAGCCTGAGGGTCTGAGAAAAGGAATGAAGGCAGCTGCCCAGTCTTTCTCTGGCTAGCAGAGCAGACCTACTGAGCTTCTGTTTCTCCTCTAGCAGCTCCCTCACCCCCTGTCCTCTGTACCGAAGGAGACTCTGGCCTCGGAGGCTAAATATTCCTCCAAAGACCCGGAGCATGCCAGATAGCACATTGGTCCTGGAGTTGGTATGTGAGTCAGGGCCCCTACCCTTTCCCTTGACCCCGACCTCGGCCCCAGTCTCGGCCAACCCTTGTCTCTTCCCTGTCACTGGCTAGAGCTTAGGCACCGGTGGGGGTGGAGAAGAGCAGAGCTCCTTCCCTTCCTCCAGCCCAGTTCCCTCCTCAGGATGACACCCTGGTCTCTTGCTCCCTCCGGGCTCTGCCCAATGCCCACTTCTCCTTCCCTGTGAGTTTCCAAGGTATGTATTACAAGGTGAGTCGTTTTGGTCCCGGGGGGTGGTTGTGGATGGGTTGGAGAGAAGCCCTTAGGTTATTGATCCCTGAACCCTGGAAAGTCTGAGGTAGAAGGGAAGGGAGCTCTCCTGTTGCCTGACAAGTGGGCAGCTGGGCCTGACCACTACTTTTGGCTGGCAAGGGAAGTGAAGACACCCTAGCCATTGCTTCCAGTGGGTACCTGTCGTTGGTCCCCAGGTGCAGGGCAGGCTGCGGCCCCACACCCATGAATTCCTGGAGATCCTGAGTCACTTCTTCCAGGTACCTCTCCCTGCCTCCCCCACCTCATGGGTCACACCCCACTCTCTGTAGTCCAGGCTGACAGAGGGGGAGTGGAGTGGGATGGGTGAGTGGGTTCTACCTTCTAGTTGGAGGGGAAAATCTGAAGGATCTCTGGGCCTTCCTAAGGATTATGGCTCCTTGGCCCATTTCTGGGAAAGCTGAGACCTTCAGCCCATCCCCCTCATAATTCCCTATTCTCCACCCCCCACCCCCACTCTAGATCATGATCTTCACCACAGCTAAAAGGGACTACGCAGAGCCAATCGCAGATCTCCTGGATCCCCACAAGAAGCTGATTAGGTGAAGCCATCGGCTCCCCCCGCTATTCTTTGACCCTTTCACCCCATCACAGCCTGACCTTTTACCCAGAAAGAGCACTGGGCGTGGCAGTCAGGCAGGACACTAAGGGTCTCATCGTGTCTTGGCCACTGACTGGGGTGTGACCTAGGGCGAAGGACTGCCTCTGTTTCCCCATTGGTAATTGGGGGCAATCACCCTTCCCCTCCTGGCCCAGGATGAGGTCGTGAGAGTCCTCGAATAAAGTGGCATCCAAACAGAGGGGAGTTTGACAGTCAAAGGGTGAGGACGAGGGTTTTGTTTGGACTCCAGGGGCCGCCTTTTCCAGGATGACTGCATCTGCCTCCAGGGTCACTATGTGAAGGATCTGAAGGTGCTGGGGCAGGACCTGGCCCGGACTGTGGTCCTGACTGATTCCCTCAAGGCCTTCCCTTACCAGGTGACAACCTTCCCCTCTCCTCCCCCCACCATCGGGGATAGATACCTCTGCGCGTAGAGTAAGGCACAGTAATGGAAAGAGTCCTGCATTTAGACACAGAGCACAGGATTTTAGAGTTAGGAGGGACCTCCGAGGTTATCTAGTCGAGCCCCAACATTTCACACATTAAAGAAACTGAGGTTCACAGAGGGAGAGAGGCCGTTAGGATTGAAACCCGAGTCTCCCGACTCTAAATTCAATGTTCTTGCCACTACCCAAAGGGCCTGCATTTGAATCGTGGTGTAGCCACTTATTCCCTCCGCCATCCTGGGCAAATCAGTTCCCCTCTCTGGGAATCGGTATCCTTTTTACATGAGCAGGTTGATAGGGATGACAGTGAAGAGGGGAAAGAGTGGTTTGATTGTTAATGGTTTAATATCAATGTAGTAAGAGGCCTGTGGCGGAGGGTGCCAGGGATCTGTGCTGGGCCCTGTGTCAGTAAATCCTAGAAGCACTGATTAAGCACTTACTGTGTGCGAGGGCACTGTGCTAAGTGCTGGGAGTACAAAGAAGGGCTAAACACGGGCCTCTCAAGGTGCTCACAGTCTAATGGGAGAGAAAACACGCACACAACTATGTGTGTATCTTACTTAGATGGAGGCCTAGGTAGCATACTCATCAAATTTTAGAGGACCCAAAGCATGGGAGATAGAATGAGGATCCAAAAAGATCCCGACAGGCAGGCTAGCAGGGCTGGGGGATCCTCAGCCTCCAGGCCACAAAGGGCCGTCCTTGAGGCCCTAGAGGGCCACGTGTGGCCCCACCCCTGCCAGAGCAGGGTCCAATTCGATGACGTTCAGCAGGAAAAATACACTGGTACAAGATGGAGGAGGCCTGGTTAGGCAGCACTTATCCAGGAAGGATCTGGGGGGGTTTAGTGGGCTGTCAGTCAGGCATTTATTAAGCACCTACTATGTGCGAGGCACTTTTTTTTTTATTTAAAAATTTTTTTTTCCATATGCTTTTGAGTTGAAAATTTTTTCTCCCTTTTTCTCCCCCCCAACCCTCCCCAAGACGGCGCACAATCTGACATAGGCTTTACATTTACATACCCATTAAACATATTTTCACATTAGTAAAGTTGTAAGTAAAAATTAAAACCAACAGGAGGAACCATCAGAAAGATGAAACAAAACTCGACAGAAGGTAAAAATAAGTGAGAGCGATTTGACTTCCATAGTTCTTTCTTTGGATATGGACAGCATTTTCCATCCCGAGTCCTCTGGAGATGTCTTAGATCCTCGTAATGCTGAGAAGGGTTCAGTTTAACATTCTTAGTCATTGCATAACGTGGCTGCTATTGTGTACAAAGTCCTCTTGGTTCTGCTCACTTCATTCAGCATCAGACTGTATAAGTCTTCCCAGGTTTTTCTGAAGTCATCATTTCTTATAGCATAGTAGTATTCCATTACATTCACATACCACAACTTGTTCAGCCACTCCTCAATGGATGGGCATCCTCTCAATTTCCAATTCTTTGCCACCACAAAAAGAGCTGCTATGAATATTTTTGTACATGTGGGTCCTTTTCCCATTTGTTTGATCTCTTTGGGATATAGCCCTAGAAGTGCTATTGCTGGATCAAAGGCTATGCACATTTTTGTAGCCCTTTGGCCATAGTTCCAAATTGCTCTCCAAAATGGTTGGATCATTTCACAACTCCACCAACAATGTATTAGCATTCCAATCTTCCCACATCCTCTCCAACATTTATCATTTTCCCGTTTTGTCATGTTGGCCAATCTGATAGGTGTGATGTGGTACCTCAGAGTTGTTTTGATTTGCATTTCTCTAATCAATAACGATTTAGAGCGTTTTTTCATATGACTATAGATGGCTTTAATTTCTTCATCTGAGAACTGTCTGTTCATATCCTTTGACCATTTATCAATTGGGGAATGGCTTGTGTTCTTATAAATTTGTCTTAATTCTCCATATATTTTAGAAATGAGACCTTTATCAGAAAGACTGGTTGTAAAAATTCTTTCCCAATTTTCTACCTTCCTTCTAATCTTAGTTGCATTGGCTTTGTTTGTGCAAAAACTTTTCAATTTAATGTAATCAAAATGATCCATTTTGCTTTTCATAATGTTCTCTATCTCCTGTTTGGTCATGAATTCTTCTGTTCTCCATAGATCTGATAGGTAAACTATTCCTTGTTCTCCCAGTTTACTTATGGTAACTGAGGCACTCTTCTAAGCAATGGGGCTACAGAAAGAGGCAAAAGACAGTCCCTGTCCTCAAGGAGCTCACAATCTAATGAAAATTCAGTATGAGGTAGCAGTGTGATGCTATATGAGGCAGCAGAAAGGAAAAACAAACCTCATGTGTCCTTGGGCTGTGTATTCTGCCCTCATCAGAACTCACCTGCAGTATTGCACCACCATCCAGTTAAGCTGGAGAGAGTCCAGAAGAAGACAGGTAGAATGAGGAAGGGTCTTAAAGCAATGTCTTGTCAGTTGAAGGAACTGGGCATAGATAGCCTGGAGAAGAGAAGACTGAAGGGGCACACAAGAGCTGATTTGAATATTTGGAGGGCTGTCCTGTAAAGGAGGGAATAGTTTGTCCTGTTTGTCACCAGAAAGTAGAATCAGAAGGAGTGAGTGGAAGCTGAAAAGAGGCTAATTTAGTCTGGAGGTCACTGGGAACTGTCTAGAAAGGAAGGTGACCTGGCCCCTTCTCCCTGAAGGTCTGCAAACAGAGGCTGAACAACCTCATGTCCTGTATGAGTATGCAAGTTGGAGTGGACAGCTAGTGACATCCCTTCTAACTCTTAACTTCTGTGACACCAGAATTTGTCCCCAAAGGGCAGTTCTAAGACTTTTGGTACATCACAGAAAAACTCTGGAAGACAAAATATCCATAGCCAGGCTCTGTGGTAGGAAAAACAAACTGGAAACAAAGCAGATGCCCATCAAACGGGAGATGAGTACACAAATGAATGTAAGAAGAAACAACAAAGATAAGAAATTCAGAAAAATGGGAAGACCTAAATGAACCCATGTAGACAGAGGGAAGAAGAACAATGCCCATGTTGCTGATGCTAATGAAAACAACACTAAAGCACTACTGAATTCATATTAATTTCAGTGCCCAGTCTTTGTTCTACAGAAAAGAGGAGAAAGCATACTTCTGTCCTCTCTGCAGAAAGGTGGGTGGCTCTGTGTGTCAGGGCGGGGAATCTGCGGCCTTGAGGCGACATGTGGCCCTGTAGGTCCTCAAGTGGGGCCCTTTGACTGAATCCAAACTTCACAGAACAAATCCCGTTAATAGAAGGATTTGTTCTATAAAACTTGGACTCAGTCAAAAGGCCGCACCCAAGGACCTAGAAGACCACGGGTTGTCCACCTCTGAGCCTCTAAGGGCACCTAAGGGGTGCCAGGGCAGCTAGGTGGTGCAGTTGATAGAATGCCCAGTCTGGAGTCAGGAAGACTCACCTCCTTGAGTTCAAATCTGGCCTGAGACACTTGCTTAGGCTGTGTGACCCTGGGCTAGTCACTTCATCCTGTTTGCCTCGGTTTCCTCATCTGTAAAATGAGCTAGAGAAGGAAACGACAAACCACTCCAGCATCTCTGCCAAGAAAACCCAAAATGGAGTCACAAGGAGTTGGACATGACTGAAAAATGGCTGAACAACAGGGCTGTCTAATGAGGAACGTATCGTTAGCTTTTTTGGGTGGTTTTGTTTAACTCTGTCTTGGCTCAGTGGTGTAGTGGAACTTTTTGAGTTGTCTAGGGAGTGGGTGGGGTGGGTAAGAAAAATGAAACAAAATATAAAGGAGTTAGATTAGCTCTTAATCCTTGCTCTTTACCACAATGCACCCACCCGCAGACAGAGCAGGAATTTGTTGCCCTCTAGTGGTCATAAGGAGGAAATTGCCTAAACTTAGACAGTGGGAATTATTAGATGGAAGGAAGATGTCCCATCCTTTGCATGTCTTCCAGATGGACAACCAGCTCCTGATTCCCCGATGGAAGGGGGACAGTGAGGACCAGGAGCTGTCTAAGCTTCTGCCTTTCCTGGAACGTCTAAGTGACTTGGTAAGGAAATAGTGGGGAATGGGACAGAAAGCCCCCACTGAGTACTTGGCCCAACTTCTCCCCCCTCCCCCTCTCCACTTATTGGACCTTCTATCTCATAGGTTCCCAAAGTGGGTGACACCATCCCCTGGGGGCACTGGAACAATCCAGGGAGCCGGTCGAAGTCTCGGGTGCAATTGGGGGGGTGGCATTGAATAAAAATAAGGGGCCAGCGGAAGCATAAGGAAAGAGAAGAAAAAAAAATTTGGAAAACCCATTCATACATGTTTCATCTGTTGTGTAACGGAGTTAAAGTCGTTGTGATTACGTTATTTTCCAAAGAAACACACAAAATGCAAGTTATAATAGATCAGTGGTCAAATCTGCCAACAGGTCTTAACAAACAAATGTTGGCAGGCTGGTGAAGTCCAGCATGCATCAGCAGGAATATGTGCGTGTAATGATTTGTTTATAATACAGTACTATGTGGTTACATTATGTCATCAAAATTTCAATGCAGGGGAAAAACCCACAAATATACAATAGATTATTAAATTTAAGATGTCATTTAAAAATATATTTTATATTTTTTGAAATGACACAGATTAAAAAAAAACATTAAAGGGTTAAAGAAAGTAGATTGCCGGGGAGGGCTAAGTAATTTTTTTTTAAAGGGGTGGTAGGCCAAATTAGTTTGGGAACCTCTGTTCTATCTTCTCACTGATTCCCTAATACTCCTGTGGAGTGCCCTACCTCCTCCCCAGTCCTTATCCTCCATCTTGTCATTGCCTCTCCCCTGTACGTTGTCACATAGGATGATGTCCGACCAGAGCTTTGGAGCCTCCACCCTACCCTGAGCACAGAGGAGTGAAGCAGGCCTCCCTTCCCTGGGAAGGTATGACTCCCCCCCTCCCCAACACACACATACCTCTGATATCCATCTGGCTTTGGGGGTGGGAGTGCTAAGGAGGTGGAGAGAAAACAAGTTTTCCTTGGATTTGATTGTGCTCAGCCTAGGTTCAGGTCCAGGGCTCCAGTGAAATTAGGTAATGAGACAGTGAAATCAGACACCTAGGCTAAGAAATGAAATCTACTGCCTTATCTTCTGTCCCTTTTCCTGTATTTTCTTAAGGGAACACAGGCTGGGGCTGGGAAGCTGTGGTGAATGGCAGTGGGGACTGAACCAGTGCTGGGATTTTCACTCCCATACCACTCCTTGTTTTGTCTAAGCTAGCAAACACGGCAGAAGAAGGTGTGTGGCTTACTGTCATTGGGCTGTAGGTCATAGGATATATTATTGGGTTCAGGGTCTTGTTCTGTGATGAAGCAAGGCTTCTCAGAAAGCTTGAGGTAGAAGGGCTTATAGAAACATAAAACCGTATCGGAGGTGGAAGTAGAACTTAGTGCCACCTCTTCCTTCTTAAAGAAAAAGCTAGTAACTTGCCCAAGATCACCAGGCTCTTCCAGGACAGAACCAGACTTGAGCCTAGGGTTGTCTCAAGGGACACATTTTTTCCATCAGGGTAGGGGAGCTACCCCTGGGCCAATCGTGGCCTCTAACCCCCAGCCCTGATTTGTGTTGTCCACTACAGGTGGATGCTGAGTTCTGGGGGCTTTCAGGGGTCTGGGACATCAACAGGAGCTCCCTGGGAGAGGACATCAGTTGCATTTCACGTATGAAAAGACTGAGAAACTTTAATAAAATGATTTTACCACTCCAGTGGCTGAGGTGGACAAAGGGCCTATGGCAGAGGAGAGCATTATCTGGGCTTATGGGGGGCAGAGCAGCACGAATAATGATAGGAACAAATGTTTTATGTGAGTGATCTCATTTAAGCCTGGCCCCACCAGGAGCAATGGGTTTTGACTGGCCGTTTTACTGAAGAGGGCTCTGCACTTTGGAGAGGTTAACTGCTTTGCCCCTTCAAGTGTCAAAGGGGGTTTGATTGGATGTCTTCCTGACTCCCAAGCCATCACTCTGTCTAGTATGCCACTTTGCCAAGGCAGGTGCTTTGGAATCGGTCCATAAACACTCATTAAGCACCTAATGTGTGCTAGGTACCATGCTAACCCTAAGAGGCAGTTTCTACCTCAACCAGTTTTGTAAAAGGGAATGCCCTTGAGGAGTAAAAAGTCATCTCTCGAGAGATGACTTTTTACTCCTGCTTGATACTAAGACTAGGCGACCCCCAGCAATCTGGATGGGCAGGCCATCTCCAGCGGGACCATGCTGGTTGGTTTTCTCTGTCTTGAGCTGGGTCATCAACTCTGCCGGAGGGGCACGAGGACAGGGGCTCATTTACTACCCCACCCCCCACTAAGAACTTTACCAGAACAGATCCTGCTTACACTTTGAGCAGAAGTTAGGTCTCTTGGTTGGACGGGGTCCCGCCCAAGATTGAAGAGCAGTTCCTGGAGGGCTGGGACAATCTCATCAGTCTTGTCCTTCAGAGACTGACTTTTTAACAGGGGCTGGGTCTTGAATGAAGAAATAAAGGAGAAAATCCTGGATCCCCATTAATAATTGGTTATTAATATAATAGCAAAATAATTCACTCACAAAAAAAGGTAATAGACAGTCCGTACCTTGAAGATCTCCCACTCTAATGGAGGAGGTAAGATCTGAGCTTCCTGAGACAAACACACAGCCCTTCAGTATCTTTTCTGGGGCTCAGTGGTCTTAGATTATTTTAAAATAGTATTTTATTTTTTCCAATTACATGTAAAGAGAATTTTAACATTCATTTTTTAAATAAAATTTTGAATTCCAAATTTTCTCTCTCCTTCTTTTCCTTCCCCCTTCCCTAAGACAGTAAGCAATTGGATATAGGTTATATATGTGCAATCATGTAACACCTATTTCCTTCAACCTTCAATTGCAATATTAGTCATATAGCAAAAGAAACAGTTTGTAAAAAATATTAGTTTGTAAAAGGAAAAAAAAAACACAAAAATAGATAAAGCAAAAATGGTGTGCTTCGATTTGCATTCAGACTCCATCAGTTCTTTTTCTGGAGGTGGATAGCATTTTCCACCATGAAGCTTTTGGAATTGTCTTGGATCCTTGTATTGCTGAGTTAGGCTATTTTGTGTAGGTGTTAGGACTGTTGTCCCTTTGGCTTCCCCAACCTTAGTGAGTCAGGAGCTCCAGACCAAGCCTTTTTAGATCTGACAAGTCTCTTAATCACCTATGGGGTCAGAGCACTGTGCTGAGTCAGTGCGGGGTAGGAAGGGGAGGTGCTTGCTGTCCTGGAGCTCACCCCATCCCACTGAGATAAGAAGCTTACCAGCTGAATATAGAGGCAAAAAATTTTAAATTAAATATTAGCAAATAGATTATAGCAACTTTTCACAAGAATAATACACTATGACCTGGTAGGATTTATGCCAGGAATGCAGTACTGGTTCAATATTAAGAAAACTATTAGCATAATTGTTCATAACAACAAAACTAACAGAAACCACATGATCATCACAATAGATGTGGAAAAAGCTTTTGACAAAATACAACACCCATTCCTATTAAAAACACTAGAGAGCACAGGAATAAGTGGAGTCTTCCTTAAAATAATAAGTAGTGTCTACCTAAAACATTCAGCAAGTATCATATGTATAGGGACAAGCTAGAAGCATTTCCAATAAGATCGGGGGTGAAACAAGGATGTCCATCATCACTGCTGTTGTTCAATATCCTACTGGAAACGTTAGCTCTAGCAATAAGAGAAGAAAAAGAAATTGATGGTATTCGAATAGGCAAAGAAGAGACAAAGCTATCCCTCTCTGCAGATGACATGATGATATACTGAGAGAATCCTAGAGAATCAAGTAAAAAACTACTTGAAATAATAAACAACTTTAGCAAAGTTGCAGGCTATAAAATAAACCCACATAAATCATTAGCATTTCTATGTTTTACCAACAGAGCCCAACAGCAAGAGATAGAAAGAGAAGTCCCATTTAAAAATTACTGTAGACATTATAAAATATTTAGGAGTCTACCTACCGAAACAAACCCAGGAACTCTATGAACACAATAACAAAACACTTTTCACACAAATAAAGTCAGATTTAAATAATTGAAAAAACATCAGTTGCTCATTGGTAGGCTGAGCTAATATAATAAAAATGACAATTCAACCTAAGCTAATTTACTTATTTGGTGCCATACCAATCAAACTACCAAAAAATTATTTTATAGAGCTAGAAAAAATAATAAGATTTGTTTGGAAGAATAAAAGGTCCAGAATATCAAGGGAACTAATGAAAAGATGCAGGGGAAGGTGGCCTAGCCATTTCAGATCTTAAATTGTATTATAAAGCAGCAATCATCAAAACTCCTTGGTACTGGCTAAGAAATAGAGTGGTGGATCAGTGGAATAGGTTAGGTATGCAAGACACAGTAGTCAATGACTATACTAATCTACTATTTGATAAACCCAAAGACCCCAGCTTCTGGGATAAGAACTCACTATTTGACAAAACTGCTGGGAAAACTGGAAAAGAGTATGGCAGAAACTAGGCATAGACCAAAATATCATACCATATGCCAAAGTCAAATGTGTTCCTGAATTAGATATAAAGGTAGATACTACAAGCAAACTAGGAGGGCAAGGAATCGTCTACCTATCAGATTTATGGAAAACAGAAGAATTCATGACCAAATAGGAGATAGAGAACATTGCGAAATGCAAAATGGATAATTTTGATTACATTAAATTGAAGAATTTTTGCACAAAGTCGATGCAACCAAGATTAGAAGGAAAGTAGAAAATTGGGAAAGAATTTTTACAACCAGTGTCTCTGATAAGGACCTCATTTCTAAAATATATAAAGAATTAGGTCAAATTTATAAGAATACAAGTCATTCCTTAACTGATAAATGGTCAAAGGATATGAGTAGGCAGTTTTCAGATGAAGAAATTAAAGTCATCTATAATCATATGAAAAAATGCTCTAAATCACTATTGGCCCATTGATTAAAGAAACGTAGAGCAAAACAACTCTGAGGTACCACATCACACCTATCAGACTGGCCAACATAACAAAGCAGGAAAATGATAAATGGTGAAGATGTAAGGAAAATTGGAACACTAATGCATTGTTGGTGGAGTTGTGAACTGATCTAACCATTTTGGAGAGCAATTTGGAACTATGCCCAAAGGGCTATAAAAATGTGCATACCCTTTGACCCAGTAACAGTACTTCTAGAGCTGTATCCCAAAGAGATATGGGAAAAGGACCTACATGTACAAAAATATTTAAAGCAGCTCTTTGTGGTGGCAAAGAATTGGAAATTGAGAGGATGCCCATCCATTGGGGAATGGCTGAACAAGTTGTGGTATATGAATGTAATGGAATACTATTGCGCTATAAGAAATGATGAGCTGGCAGACTTTAGAAAAACCTGGAAAGACTTGTATGGTCTGATGCTGAGTGAAGTGAGACGAACCAGGAGAACGTTGTACACAGTAACAGTCACATTGTGCAATGACTAACTTTGATAGACTTAGCCCTTCTCAGCAATGCAATCTAAGACATCTCCAAAGGTGTGCTATTCACATCCAAAGAAAGTACTATGGAGTTTGAATGTAGATCGAAGCATACTATTTGCTGGGGTTTTTTTCTTCTGTTTTGTTTTCTCTTTCTTGTGGTTCCTCCTATTGGTTCGAATTCTTCCTTACACCATCACTGATGTGAAAATATGTTTAACAGAAATGTATACGTATAGCCTATATCAGATTGCGCACTGTATTGGGGAGGGAGGTAGGGAGGGGAGGGGAGAAAAATTCAAAATTCAAAAGTTTATGAAACAGTGGATAGAACACCGGCCCTGAAGTCAGGAGGACCTGACTTCAAATCTCAGACCAAACACTTGACACTTACTAGCTGTGTGACCCTGGGCAAGTCACTTAACCCCAATTGCCTAAAAAAGGGGGGGAAAATGTAAAAAAAAAAAAAGCTTATGGAAGTGATTGTTGATAAATCAAAATAATAAAAAAAAAGACACTTTCCAGCTGTAATGTGCAACATTACATGATAAGCCTATGGAAGAGTTTCAAAACAAGGGGCTTTACGAGGTCCGGCGGGAAAAGCCATTTGTGTATGCGTTTTGACTGGGGCAAGGTAAGGGAAAGCTGCTGCCTGGAGGAATTAACCTTTGTATTGAGCTTCAAGGGGATGGTAGGCATTAATTAACTTAGGAGGGTTGGGGTAAGAGGTCTAGGGAATATTACAAAGAAATGAAGATGGGAGTAGTCCATTCTGACTGGAGTATAGAGTGCAAGAACAAGGTGATCTGTTTTCAATTCTGTCTCTTCCCCCTTGGCATCACAGTCCATCCAAATACACAGACAACTGCCACGTTCCATCCCTCCCCCCAGGACCTTCAACCTCCCTTTGTAAGGCAGGGTGCCCAGTTCCCTTCATCATCCTAATCACCCTTCTCTGGATGCGCTCCAACTTGTCAATGTTTTTCCTAAAACATGGCGCCCAGAATTGAACAGAGTCCTTGAGTAGTCTGACAGGAGCTATTGTGGACGCTAGAGCCCCTCTCAATGTAGTATAAAGCCACAGTGGTCTTTCTGGCTACCATATCACTCAATTCATCACACTGAGTTTGCAGGTGACTAGAACGACCAGATCTTTTTATTTTTAAAAGTTCTCTTATTATTCATTTAATAATCATAATGAAATTTATAGCTGCTCTTTTTGTGGTGGCCAAGAGTTGGAAATCAAGGGGATGCCCATCAACTGGGGAATGTTGAACACCTTGTGGTATACAATTGTAATGGCATACTACTGTGCTATAAGAAATGATAAGCAAGCTAATTTCAGAAGAGCCTGGAAAGACTTATATGAACTGATGCAAAGTGAATTGAGCAGAACCAGGAGAACATGGTACATAATAATAACAATACTGTATAATGATCAATTGTGAATGACAGCAATACATTGATCTAAGACAATTCTCCACAATGAACTGATCAAGTCTGAATGCAGATCAAAGTGTACTGTTTTTCACTTTCTGTATTTTTTTTCATTTTTTTTCCTTTTGGGTCTGTGTCTTCTTTCCAACATGACTGATATGGTAATATGTTTTGCAGGATTGAACATGTGTAGCATTTGTCAAATTGTCTACTATCTCAGAGAAGGAGGGAGAGAGAAAATTTGGAGCTCAAAAAATTTTTGAAACAAATCTTAAAAATTGTCTTTACATGTAGCTGGAGAAAGAGTGAGCAGGATACTCTTAGAAAAACTTGGGAAGACTTATATGAACTGATGCAAAGTGAAATAAGCAGAACCAGTAGAACATTATGCATTTTAAAAGCAATATTGTACAATGATCAGGAGTGTTTGGAGTATTCAAGGACTAGCACCTCTGGTAGAAAGACTTGCCGAGCCCTTTTCAGGGCTATTCATATACCTTTGGTGTCTACCTGGCTCTCAACTCTCACCTGTAGCATGCACAGTGGCTACACCTACATAAACTGTTCAGGCAGACAAGCTAAACCAGGCTGAGGGTAACTGCTGGGCCTTAAACCTATCAATGAGTTAGTGGGATGTCTGCCCCAGGCACGTGAAGACTGTCCCTGATGATGGATGCATGAGAACAATTTGTTCCAAGCGGCTAAAGCAAGC